AGCCTTAGAAGAAAATCTTTGTTTCGACATCGTAGGTAAGTTCAGTACAATTTCACAAATTAAATTTGAAAATAGTTGAAGAATTGATCTTCACAAAAGTTTTTAGGAATCAGGCATTTGCTTAAACTTTCGAAATAGCTCAAAGTTTACTTTGTGATGTTAAAAGTTTGGTTATTAATTGTAAAAGAAAAATATATTGAATGTTGTTGCCGACTGTTAAGGATAGTGTCACCTTTTGCTCAAAGATGCTTATTCACTGCCTTATATAATTTTTTTTTGGATAATAGACCTCATCTGACCTCAATTCAAAATAGGAAGGTGTTAATAAATTGACGATCATTCGATCATTTTCTGTATCTGAAAGATTATAAAGAGTTACAATACCCTTAATATTAAGTAATGTTTCATTTACATGCAATGCCTTTTTTATTTGAAAATACTTGTAAGATGCACATGGGGGGCATTCGATAAAACACTGTTTAGATAAGGGACATAGGTTTGAAAGCCATATTACAGACTTTCTACCCCAAAGCAACATCAGCGAGAATATGCAAATCAGCCCAATGTATTTTATCACGACATCACGACAATCAGTACTACAATCTGGCGCAAGGGGATTTTCTTGAGAGACGACCCAATGCATTTTATGTGTCCTAAACGATAATATTTTAAATCGCCGGCGACAAGTGTAGTTCATGCTCTTATCGTATACCATGCCAGTTTTTATGTGTATGTATTAATTTGTAACTGAATTACATCGAAAACCCATCATCATTTCAAGCCCCTCAGCAAAGCAGACACTTTGACGATAAACATTTTGCCCAATGAAAAGAAGCGCGAGATGTTGTGAAGAAGTCAACATTAAGGGGGTGGGGCTGGGGGGGGGGATTCGGGTGCTCTGAAAGTGTTTATGTTTAGTTCGATAAGATCAGTGTTAACATTTCAAATGAATGTACGGCAAACGCTTTTTGCCAAATATAGACCGAAATAAAGTTTCAAACTCCTGGATAACACATCAGAAAGATATGAAATCACGTACATAAAACTCACACAATACGTTACATCAGTTAAATTGGTCCGTTTATGAAAGGTTTCTGTAAACGATTGAAAATTTTCCCAATTCATATTTATATTTCTTAATATCCCACATAGACATTTAGCTTTACCAAGTCACACCTAAAAGATGATGAAGTCTTTCAAATAATAACAAAAAAATCTAGCGTCGATATTTCTTTCTACAGTTGAGTTACTATGACATTCTTAAAATCTGAGCTCAAAGTAAGATTTAAATTATTTCCAAAATGGCATCCAATCCAATTACATGAGCGAGTCGAGCAAACATTTTTGAATAGTAGAAAATAACAATTACTCGGCGGAGTTTTAATTTGGCACAAAAATCCAGAATATGTTACCTTTAAGTAATTAAAGCTTCCTCCACTCTAGTTTAATTCTAGTTTAAATTTTAAGCCTGCATAATAGGTTGATTAAATGTACCGTGTGATGATGACTTCAAAGCAAGAGCGATTAATAATATGTGGTAATGGTAGGCAACGACTGTGAGACTAATTGAAGGGCACCTTGTTAAATACAGGTGTCTGGTTTTCTCCTATGTAGCGCATTTTTTGGGTGCCATTTGGAAAGCAAACCTGGATAGCGCAATGTAATTCTATGAGTCCTTGGGACATAATAGAATACATGTATACTGCGGCATGTTATAGAACATCAACACATAAAAAAATAAATAATAGGAAATCCGAGGTTTGTTGTTATGAAAAGGCACATTGTTGCCATGAATTTAAAGATATATACATATGTGCTAAGTGATAGAATGCTGGCATCGATCCAAAACGTACGTGACAAGACATTAACACTGCCTAATTATAGATTGAATAACCATGGCATGCCAAACTGAATTTGCCGATGATATATGTTTTCCACCCCGGTATATTACTTAGTTTACTATAAATTGACAAAATGTTTGGTTCTTTCAACTCTATTACATTACTTCTATATCACACATACTGTATATTCTAACCCACTCGATCCTTTGCTGCCCTTTTCCCTCTCTCTCCCTCTTTGAGTATTTATGTATTTTATGCTGCTGTTTTTGAATCTCACATTCTGGAAACATATCAATCAATTCCACTAAACACTTTTGACCCTGTTCTAATGATTCACTAATATCAATACTTACATTGCACAATTAATATTGAAAAAAAGACAATATTAAAAAAGTTATTTTGAGTTTTTAGACAGTTCAGTTCTCTACACATTTGCCAAATAAAATGCACTATACACACTTGTATTGCAATGCCGATTTCATCAGTAATGGATTTCCTTAATAGACTGAAATGTCGTGGACGTGATTATTGTCTCATGGGTTGTCTATTACTGCCTAACAACAGCCAGCGGATCTAAAAACCAATTCATTTTGTGAACCCCATTAATTGCATATCAATTTAGACGCTTGTCACATTGACTTCTCTCAGTGGTACATGCATGTATCTATGAAAGGAGTCAACCCTGAAAACTATTTGGGAAATATTTATAACTTCCATTGATTCTACAGAAAAAGGAAGATGAAGATCAGTATCAACCTGTTGTTTTCTACCACGGCTCTACTGATGACCGTCCTGGTAGTTCAGATAGATGGCGCTGTAACCGAAGGTAAGCCTGTGTAAGGCTGTTTGTACATCTCATATTTTGTCAAGACTGCGTGTTTCCTAAATTCACAAAAATAATAATATGATACAATGACTACAGAAAAAAAGAAAGGTTTAGCAAACGATAAAATACAATTGTGAAGTGCGAAAAGCCTAGTTTAGTCACGTCGTCAAACCATTTTGCTAAGGATCAAAACGTCTCTAAAAAGCTATTATCGTTCTTATTAAGATATGTTTGGTATCTTCTTACTGATCTCTGTATTTAATAGGGGACTGTACATGGGGCGACTGGAGCCCCTGTGACGCGCCGTGCGGGGGCGGTATCCAGAGGAAAACAATGGACTGCTGTGACTGCACCCCCAGAGTGGCAATCCGTTCCTGCAATAGGCAACCTTGTCCTGGTGAGTACGCCAGGGTCACTGTGTTACCCAAAATTATTTTGATGCGTGCTTAAGGGTGATAAATATATTTTTTAATCCGAACGCGCTTGTTCCGGAGGTTGATGGTATATTCCGATCCTTTTTTTTCTGGAGATTAAGTAAATTAGGTTGATAATTACAATGCATGAGGCATAACTTTAAACTTAGGCTTATGACCACCCAGACAGTTTGGTATTGATTTCTTTCTTTTCAGTAAATGAAATTGGATTAAAATGTGGATATTTAATAATGCCTGCATGGTTATTTTCATTTTACAAACACCCTGACTTTTCAAAATAACTCCTTCCTTTCCTTTTTTTATTGAGGGTTTTGCATTTTGAGATGTTCTGCAAACGTTGTTTTGCATTTACCATAGTGATTTCATCGTCCATACGTTCATACGTTTTAGTCGACGGAGCCTGGGCCCCTTGGTCTGCCTTTGGTGCCTGCTCTCGCAGTTGTGGAGGGGGAAGTCAGATCCGCACGCGCGGCTGTAACAACCCCCCAATGGCCGGTGACGGACAGCCTTGCCAGGGAGCCTCAGCTGAGCTACAGGCTTGTAACGACCAAGGCTGTAATGTGTATGTATATCTAATGTATGTATGTAATGCTATCATATAGTGTATGTAATGCTATCATATTTGATGAGTTATTGGTTACGATATGGTATTTTATCTCGCCGTTTAAGATGACATTTTTCATATGGTTACTCATTATATCTCGACACTCGACTTGCTCCTTTGCAGGACCATTTGGGTCTGGTTGCTATTCATTAATTCATTTGCTGTCACCTTGAAGAGATGATATTAGGGTCATATCTGTTAAGACATATGCCAAGTACATTACCCTATTCCATAAGCCGTCTTTATTCATTTCAGCTGACTTTACCCGCTCTCTCGAACTAGACCGGGATGGAATGGAAAGAGGACGTAGCTTTGGCGGAAAGAGCTGAATGCAATGCTTAAGGCAGAGACTTGTTAACGTGTGGCAACATGTGTTCTTGAACAATGTGCTCATTAACAGTAAATTTTAGTTTCACGTTAATTTCAAGTAGCAATTTTAATGATATTTTAAACAAGGATTGATGCCATTGACGCTTAACACATCCACGAATGTATCGCTTATAGTAGGAAGTCATTTTTATCGCAGTTGCCTCTGTAAGACCAACTTTTCAAATTATTAAAAAAAGTACTTTACTCCTTGCTCATCTGCACCATATGAACGTGGTTGATTCTAGAGCGATTTTGATTGATAATATTACCTTGCATTCTTTGTTGGGTATTGGCCATTTGATAATCTTAATAAAGTGAAATATTAACTTGGCTACAAATGTAATTTAAAATCTTACTAAAGTAAAGGGGGTTAGTTGATAATCCAAATAAAACGTCATTGCCCATGGTACCGAGTGGAGACCTGGATGTGACGCGATGATGATTTCCAATAAAGCTAACAACAAAAATTAAGAAGAAAATTGCCGTTGAAATGGCTTAACGGTTACTTATCTTTAAAATTCAAAAAATAATTATAGTGAAAATAATAATTTTAGCTTGGTGATATAAATAGCAATCTCATACTTGGACAACTGTTGTAGGACAACAACCTTCACTACAATTTCATATATTACAATATCTTTAAAACGAAACCCCAAGAACATGACAAAATGGTCATTCTCTTCATGACTCAACGTTTTCAAAAACAAAATTTTTAAATCATCGACGGCTATTTTTCACCATATTAACTGTTTTGAAATTTGAAAGGATAAATATACCGGCAAGCGAACGTGGATCATGCATTCCTCTAAATGAAACACGTTGCTCTAATTGTCCAGTAGCGCTTTTCTCGGATTCTGCGTCATAGGAATGAAGAATAAAAACATCGCAATTTATTCAAATTTTATTCATATTTACAAATTCTCCGTATTCCAAAATGGTCGACCATCTAGAACTAAAAAACTGATTGAATGGAAAAAAATAGAATTCAGGTGCAATGGCCAGTCGAGCAATGAAACGTTTGTAGTGAAAAAAATTACTTTATTTCAAGGAAAACTCAGTTAAGTGGGAACATCCCGTATGTGATACATGTACCAACAAAAAAGTGATTTTGTGGCCATAAGTTAGATAATAAGTCATTGAGCGTCTGCTCGGAGGGTTGAGGAGATCCTAACCCAGCCCAAGAGAAGGTGTCCTTAATAGTCGTTCTCGTTGTCTACCCCTCAACATCCATGCCATGGCTGGTTATAGCTGGACCGGTACGAACCTTGAATAAATAAATCAATAAATCAATAAACAATGACATATTATCACAAACAAAATATATCATACATGAATAACTTTACAGAATGTATAGAGGAATTTATTGTAAATTACACACCTGTATGTACTGGTTATAAGATGGCTTGTTGTTATGTAACAGATGGTTTTATCAAAAGTCAGTCATATACAAGTAAGTAGGCTATAAGTAGACCTACATAAACAAATAGAGTCCAATTCATTGAATATAATAATTGAATATATATAATTTAACAATTTAAACTAATTATAAACCAGGGCAGCAGGCGAATAACTTTATTAAGTTTTTATAGTACAGAATATACCAAAAAAGTAGGTAACTTTAGTTATCTGCTTCCCCTTTATACTGCTATCATCTAATTTAATCAGTTATTCATTTCTTTATTGTTAATTCCTCTTTTATGTTAATCCTCTCTTCCCTTTTTCTTTCTCCATCCCTTCTATTGTTTTCATTTTATTTTACTGTGACCAGTTTTCCATAGAATTTTAATTCGATGTATGTCAAATCACTATATAAAAGTATAAAAACAGAAAAAAAATAAAATAATAAAAACTCCCCTACCAAGGCAGCAGACAGGTGGGCAGTACTTGACTTCAGTCCCACGGCCTGGGCAAGGTTTCCCGCCATGCTGCGCGGCCGGGGCGGTACAGGTGCGGGTACGTGTACGATAGCACGTGTGCACCCCACACCCGCTCCATCCAGTCCACGTAGTCCAACCTCCATCAACTGAAAATAATGTTCATGCTTTATAACTATATTATTATTATTATTATTATTATTATTATTATTTTGCAGACGTCTAAACTTTGGTCCGAAATAGAGGCTTATTCAAACCTTTCGGTGACACAGGAAACAAAGACAAGTTTACAAATTCCATTAAAAATTAATCAAAGATTTGAGACATTTTGAAAAGGAACCGAGTCGAAGGCCCCCCTCGACATGTAGTTTGCCGGGCATTACAAGTACCGGGAGCTTAGATAATTCATTTGGAAGTGTAGCGTACAATCATGCATACGCTGGCACTGGTTTTTTTTTTTTTTTTTTTTTTTTTTTTTTTTTTTTTTTGCAGATGGAAGTTGAATGCATTAGTTGTGCGTCGTCATTGTCATATTAATTGCGTTCGTCTTGTCTTCGCATTCCATTCGTCTATCTTCGTCTAATTCCAGGCGGAAGCATATTTTCTGAATGCGTTAGTGGTTCGTTGTATCAAGCATCTCCATTGCGTTCGTCTTTGCATTTTGTATGCTCGCATTTCGTTCGTTGTCATCCAAAATCCTTTTCGCTCGTGCGCTCATGATCACTTGGCCCTGAGATATGTCGAAAGAGTGCCACTGTTGCGGTAGGAGGGTTTTGCAATTTTTTTTAAATTAAGCCGTGTATGTTAGTTTCCAGGTAGCCGTAATTTCTTCTAGTTTTCCTTTTTTTTTTACCTTTCTAGATTTTCTTTCTCAACTATATCATTCTTACAGTTATCACTCTAAATTACTTTATCTTTTTTGCACCACTGCATTTGTTGATATTTGTATTCGATTGTTATATTATACTGAGTAAAGTCAATTTATAAACAGTATGTATTATTTACCGCTGCGACAGTTTGATAATTTTCATGCGATCTATGGAACTGCAGTAATCATATGCTTACTAGGGCATAGCTGTGTGTTACACATCTCCTCTTCAATACTACTTCCAACACAGTCTGCGCCGCCATTGGCTGGGGCTGGGTTGCTGCACTGCCTAGTGCGCGTGCGCTGACCTCCTCCACAGGTGGTGCTGCATTCTGACCATGAGCAACACCAGTCTCCCCATTGGCCATGAACTGTAAATGGTAAAAGAACAGTGCTGGTTGGTCTGGATATTACGCGATTAACCACCCTGAATAGATTATTTAATTGAAAGTTTTAAATAAAAAGAAAATGAAAAAAATTGATGCAGGGGTTAGAAATGCACAGAATACCTTTCGTAGTAGTAGTATTTATTATTTAAAGAAAGGATGTACAATTTTATAACACTAAATATGCGAGCAGAGCAAAAAAAGTGTACTCCAGCACACTGGACGCTGCAAAGATGACACACTAGACAAATTTAACAAACTGTTATAAAATTTATTTCTAAGATGCAAAAAGCTGTGATAAACATTTAGAAAATAGAACTTGAAGACATATAATGGCAATTTCTTATAATTTTAAGCTTTTTAGGGGGAAATAATCTGTGCCTTTCGTCAGCCGTCCCACAGTTCTCCTGTTCCCAGAGATAGATATAGATACAAAATGTATATGTGGGTGTTTATCATTGACTTTATGTATGTACAATGACATGTGATCTGAGACATCGTCTGAATTTGTACATGCACAATGCACTACGTCTTACTTGGAAAAAAAAAAGAAAAAAATTAAAGGCAAAAAGACAGAAAGCAAGTAAGATATATAGAAAGAATGAATGTAAGAAAAAAATGAAAATATAAGAAGTATCAAGACACAACATTTACCTGGACAGTCTTGAATGTTGCACTTCTTTATGTCGTCAGCAGGTCCCACGCACGGCTTGCCTGTTCCGGCCTGAGAGGGATTGCTACATGTCCTTGACCTCATTTGAAAGCCTCCACCACAACTGTCCGTGCACGCGCCATAGGCTGACCAATCTCCCCACTGGCCATCCACGGAAACTGAAATCGAATATCTGACCACCTGACTAGGCAAATCGTGAAGTATATTTAAAAAGGAGAATTCACCCCAAAGGGATTGGTGATTTTCTAGTGATCTTTGAATTTTGGATTTTGCAGCAAGATATTAGTTTTCGCATTCCATTCATAAACGTTTCATATTGCTTACTACAAGCTACCTCCAAGAAGGGGGGGAGGCTGTGAATGTCAAATAGAAGATACAAGCTTAAAATTTTACACTAAATGAAATATACAAACTATACTAACCAGGACACCTGCCAGTATTACATGACCGGACGTCCAGTCTGGCCAAGCACTTGTCACAACAATCTATCATGGTCCTGGTTTGCACGCCGCCTCCACATGGAATGTCACAAGGACTCCAATCTGACCACTGACACGGACCTAACAACAATGAATATAATCATCATCATCATTATTATTATTATAATCATTATTGTTATTATTTTTATTATTGTATGGTCCCCCAAGGAGGTTACTGTACGTTATTGAGTTAACTAATTAACTAATCAAAAATAACACCTGGTATTATACTTTAACTTTATTATTACTATATACATGTATTTAAACTTAAGTATATTATAATTAGTAGTGTAGAGAGCCTATAAATGTACACTCATTTCATGTGCTCAATAAATTATTATTATTAATAAAAATAGCTCATAATAACTAGAAATGAACTGCCTTAGTTGAAGTATGCGATACTGAATGCTTTTCTAGTATTCACTTAGTTTTCAGTGGCGACAGCTGGAAGAGGGGGTGCGGCAGGCACGTGCCCCCCCCCTCCAACCATCTAATTGTCCACCAGTCTCCTGTGCCCTCCTTTGAATACTGTATACCGAGAGAAACCAGACCATGGCCATTTCCCTGTCTCCACGCTACATTACCTGTACATCTTACATGTAAATTGCTTTATTATCTAGGGTACTTTGTTATCCTTGTCTACCCTGCTCATCCTAAGCAAAAATCTTGATCTGCCAGTGTTTTGCATTCCATTTGAAAACAACAACCTCAATCCCCCCAAAAAGAGATAAATAGATAAAATAAGATATTGACAATATGCAGATTTAAGTCTACATTAGACAAACCACACGGTACCTGGGCAAGCTTGTGTGTTACACGCTCTCCCTTCAACTTCATCCAAACACCCTTCACAGCAGCCTTTCCTTGTTCTCGTTTGCTTTCCTCCCCCGCAACTGGCGTCACAGGAGGTCCACTGGGACCACGGGCACGGCGCTAGCAACAGATAGACAGTCCGTTTAAATATAACGGTATAATTTCGTGTTAGGATTTCTCAGAGAACACAGACACAGAAAGAATCACCAATGTATAGGCCTACCAGTCAATGTGAAAAGAATATTCGTCAACAGCACGTAAGTTTTTATAAATGGAATATTTTGCCAAGGTATCTGTCTTTATCTCTTTTAAATTTTTATTTATATATAAACTGAAATTTTCAACGCACATGCACAGAAAACATTAACATCAAAACATCTTGCCCACTTTTTCATAAGAATATTTAACCTCTCGCCTGTCTTTACTTTTGCACCTTTTAACTTCAGTAACTGCAAATACACACTAGCTTATTTAAGGAAGCAATAAAAACGTAAAGATATATGTGAACATATAATGCATCTGTTACTCACCAGGAGTAGTGGTCGTAGATATCTGTGGCGTCGTTGTTGTAATGTTGGGTTCTGAAAATAGAATTATATATATATATATATATATATATATATATATATATATATATATATATATATATATCGCCGTGGGGTTTCTGCAGTACAGAGTGTATGCCACGTTCGTCATAAAAGTTTGACACTTTTGCAGGAGAGTGAAAAATATCCCTTCGACTGGATGTTCAGACACTTTATTTATGTTGATTTTAATGGAAAAATAGCACACTGAATCTGACAAAAAATTGGTCTGATTATTTCGGACAAATTTTGAACTGGAGTGCTGTCATGAAGCTGGTCATTGCTCATACCTGCTTCACACCTGGTTTACGCACTTTTACACAATTTAATATATATGTATATCCCTTTTAGCACGTGCATGTACAACTAAGGGTGCATTCCCAGATATTTAGATCGATCCAGAAATTTAGATTTAGATCGACCTAACTCCCTGGGGGTTCACGCTAAATTGCAGTCAGCCGAGTGCGCACCATAGTCAATTACCCCCTTACAGCTTTTAATAGGCGGGACAGTTTAAGCCGGCTAAGCTGACAGTAATCTAGTGAGGCCTCCCACAGGGATAGATCGATCTAAAATCTATGGAAATGGGGTCTAAGTCGCACAAAATTAATACTGATCTATCGGGCACTTACTGGCACAAGAGGATACGCCGATGTCGTCCACGAGGTTATTTAGGCTGGAGGTGTCCTCTGCGATGAAGACGGAGTTCACGTCACCCTGGGCAATGACTAAGAGCTCTGTCTTATTGATATTTCCCGCTCCGACAGCGATTGAACGTATCCCATTGGCTTTTAGCGACTCAGCAGCCTCAGGTACGCTTACAGCTCCTTTAATTATACGATTTTGATACATCACAAAGGTTATTATTATTATTATTATTATTATTATTATTATTATTATTATTATTAAGTAGTAGTAGCAGTGGTACAACGGTAGTACCAGTAGTACCGCGGTTTCTGTAAAGTGCTCAAACTTAATTTACCAATGGTAAAACTCGGTAAGTACAGTACATATTTGAAATTCATAGGTCCTAAATGTATTTGTTATAGATGCATGTGTGAGTCTACGTGCATATGTATTTCACAAGAGTGCAGCATTACCTAAATCCGGAGTTGCTGATCCGTCAGTCAGCACTAAAACCACTTTTTCAACATTGCGGCCAGAGTTCAGGAGATGTTGCTGACACTCCAGCATGGCGTCCGGTATATTCGTCTGACCGTCTAGGTAGGGCATGGTCTCCAGTCTGTAGATAATGTGATCCGTGCTCTGGCTTTCAGTGAAATCAAACCAAGTTCGGATTTTTCTCCCGAACACCACGTTGGCGTATCGGACGGAGATGTCGTCGCCGAAGCTTGCCACGCGGCGAACAAGGTTGGTGGCGAATATCTTCTCGTTTTCCCAGCCCGTCTTTCCGTTGGTTTCTTTGTTTTTGAGAGAGCCCGATGCGTCGACGGCAATGCACATATCCAGCGTGCACTCTGAAGGAAAATGATTCAAGTTTGTGATGTAAGGATTAAATTAACGTACTTGTTCATATGTTTTACGCAATTTGTCTAATTATAATAATAGAAACGAAAGCATTAACTATTATTGTATGGGTCGTGCAATTAAACAGTTGAATAAAAAAGTGACAACGTAGTTACATGTACAGGTACATGTATGCCTTGTAAGGCATAAATCCACAAGAATAAGTTTTGGGTAAAAAGTCCATATTATAAGGTTATAAACATAAGATGTAGGTGAACTTTGTAATCTTAAATGCAGTGTGGTATGCACATAGAATTATCTCTTGCAGTTGTACAGGCACGGAAGCACGTTTACGTATTGACTTACCACTCAATTGTCGCTGCAGTTCCGGGAAGGCAAATGCTTCTGGGGGCAGCTGAGAGACGAAATACAAAGGCTCTAGTGCAGGTGGCGCTCGAAATGAAGGAGAAAATAAGCCAGGAGCTCTTCCGACTGAGATCCCATTGATGATTTCAACGAAGGCGCCCGTCTGTCCCAGGAGGATGAAAAATATGAGATAATAAAATATCACCGACATCATTCCGATGTTGGTCCTCTTGACATGTACCTGAGGAGAAAACACTGAAATGTTATTGTTATTATTATTATTATTATTATTATTATTATTATTATTATTATCGTTGTTGTTGTTTTGTTATTGCTGTCTAAATCAGAAAATATCTTGTAACAAAGGAAAGGACCGTGGGAGGAATGACTGAAAGAGGCCTATTCAGATTGTGAGTTGGATATAATACATATTATAATATCTTTTCCCGCCTAATCTAATATTCCTCAAATACTTCTCCCGCTCATGAATCAATACTCCACCCGTCTCTGTGCTTAGATTCGATGTTTTAAACCATTTCTAAAATATGCACGAAAAGCACATATCAAAGCCTCTGCCCAAGAAGATATCAAATTGACATGTTAAGATGAATGTATCCAGTAGTTTAGGCATTTAGCCTTCCAACACTCACTCAAAGTTAACGTGGTTGCATCGGTTATATACTGGTACCAGGGTTTAAGGCTTCGTTCACATGCAATGTCTATTTTCTATTTTCTATTTTCGGTATGTCTTATGATCACGGTCTGTGCACTGAATATCCCGCGGCGTAATTCCTGGCAGCGCGAGCCAGTTACTATAAGTTACTATAAGTAACTGGCTCGCGCTGCCAGTAATTACGCGGCGGGATATTCAGTGCACAGACCGTGATCATAAGACATACCGAAAATAGAAAATAGAAAATAGACATTGCATGTGAACGAAGCCTAAATGTTATTATGAATTTTGCATGAAAGTATAGGTAAACCGATGTTTTTACTTCTGTCTGCGGTGGGAAACGAACGTGTTTTGGTTAATTGCATTCGTGATTTGGTAAATGAATATCCTTTTTGAAAGCTATTTAAATTCAAACAGTGTAAAAGGTGATAAAAAGAGTACTTTGAACAGTGTGAGTGTTTCTTTAACACTAAATACATATGTTTTTGGTATTTTAATGAGAGCTACTTTATCTGAATCAAATAGCTACCATGAACGTTATTTATTTTAATAGGGGACTCAAGATTAAAGGTAATGCTCCGCCAGTCAAATAAAATTCTCATTAGGTACTTGATTTGGTTTACAAATTGTTTATTCAACATGGTTACAAAATGCAGTTGGCCAACCTTGGTCTTCCTCTATATAATAATAGGCATCTATTAAGCATGTTTTTTTTTCAGTTAGATGACTGTCACGTTCATGCAGTCAAAACTTAAGGGTATCTTGGAATTAAATGTTGTATCTCTATAAAATGATATCTTACAAAACACTAGAGGAGTCTAACGATGCCATGGTTCTTCATTGTATACTATAATATAGTGTCAAGATTTATTAGGAAAACTCAATTCAATGTAAAGAATACAAAAGTTGACGAAGCTGACCCAACAAATCTTGCCTAACAAATCTCATCAATCGAATACTGTGTTGAGATTTCGCTGTAAAATCGAAACCCTACATGAAGATGCATACTCATTCTTTGAGCAGTTATTGGGACGGCCCGGGAGGTTGATTTTTTTTTTTTTTTTTTGTAATACGCGGAAGCATTTGCCAAAAAGTCATTAATTTTACAAAAAAAAAAAAAAAAAAAAAAATCATAATAATAATATTACATTTTAAAAAGAATGGATACAATATTTCATCTTAATAACATAAAAAACCAAGCAGTTGTATTTTACTTTAAGGTATTATTGCATACAATGATAGGTAATAACGAGGAGCGAGTGCGGCCAACCTCCGAGTGCGCCCAACCTCCGTATTTACGTTTTTCCTCTTGTAGTAATCAAATGCAAGTTTTAGAAATTATTCCTGGATAAAAAAGTTACGTAGAACGGTCCAGAATTCGAAAACACGTAGAAGGGGCTAGCTGCGTTCGAGACAGCGGTGTTACCACGGAGCCACGGAGGATTCGTTACACGTATTGAAATCAAATGGAAACGTTCTACCTTGTCACGGAGAGGGAAAGTTTGGATGAAGGCCTGAATGTATATATCTTCAATTACGATCCACAGCCCGTGAGCCGTGAGACGTATTTCATCCGGCTCAACGCCAGTCCCCGGACATGGTCTTATTATAGTTCATGATGCACATGAGGCCTTCTTTGAGATGCCGACATTTAGCGATCCTAGATATATTACCTTTTTACAACGACTTTGTTTTTAAGCTGCGATTTAGTTTGGCTTCACCAATGCAGTTTAAGAGCACAGTGGATCGATTTTAGTTTAAGCAAGCACCTAAGAAGAGGGAATCATTTAAAAACCGTGCAAATGTGTAAAAGCCGCTGCACTTTCCATTCAAGCACTTACGACATAGCGAACATATTTGGCAAATAATTCAGCAGGGAAGATGTCACTTATACTCTGCTGAACGCGCTTTACAGGTGGTTTGACGTGGTGCTATATCAATTCCAGTATGGTCGCTTTAATTAATACAGTGTAATCGTTCAAATCGTTCCAAGTTAGATGACTTGAGTTGTGTTTATTTTAATTTTGTTTTATTCTGAGATTACGTTTGACTTCCCCCGTGACGTTATAAAGCACAATGAGAGCCAAAGCGGTTCACACCTTGTGGGTATTAGCTTGAGCAGTCTTCGCCACAACACTGTAGAGTTGCCCCGGGTACTGTATGACCATATGAACAGTCTTGATAAGCAAGTCATAAGAGGAGGGGCGGGGGCAAAAAATCAAAATGTTTGATTGGATAAAGCAATAGCGGCGATGTGACTTTTGAAAAAAAATATTGTTGATAATCCCAGCTAGAAGAAAACACTTTTTGATGAAATGGCAGTATGACACGCATGGCGGCATGCCGGATTAGCTATTGACTCAATACAAGTTTAATCTGTTACGTAGATGGTAAATGAGTGAGATCAATGTCCATCCCCGCATTAGTTGTTGTCAAATCAATCACTCCTTCTAAACGATAGCACTTTTTATACAAAAGGTAATTTGCCGGGACCCACGGGAGCCTGCATTCATTTTCGCGCCTTCTATGTATGTACGTTTTTCCTCTTAAAGTAATCAAAAGCAATTTTAAGGATTTATTCTTGGGAAATATTTACATTGAACAATCTAGAATTCAAGCCCGTTTAAAAATCCCAATTGAGATCTGGCCTCGTGCAGTTAGTAACAGGAGTAGATTTTGATCTGGCCTGTGACAAATATACAGTATAAACAATATCAGCTTTTAGCCTGGTTTCCAAAAAAAAAAAAAAAAAAAAAAAAAATGCCAAGCTAGGAACTTGTCGCTGACACAAACTGACACGTTTTCTGACCCCCTCCACTATGTCTTCATTAACTACCACTGATAGCACGATCTTGGATATGACCTCAACATTTGTCGTCTCCCAAATGTTTCATCGCATTTAATAAGGAAAATCGACTTGAAAACAACGGTGCAACCATACTCATCTGTGCAAGTAAATCACTTTTCAAATCACGAATCCGAAGACACACATGTACATATATTATTATACTTTACATACCTTTCTACTTTGCCCTAATTGCGCTATTGAGTTCACGGTGAAGATGGGTAGAGAGAGGTGAGGTTATTTCTAAGCTATTTGCAGCACCTTTACCGCTTTATATGTAATGTTAGTAATATGCAGATTAAATGTGAACCGGATGGATTCCTTGTGCTCTCACGCCATTTAATTTAGTAATAAAATGCACCTATTAAAACCCGATTAGAGCTCCGCTTTAAACATTTATAGCTACCGGTAGCTTCTCAGCCTCTTACACATGCGCATCATCTCTCTCTCTCTCTCTTTCTCGCTCTCTCTCCCTCTCTCTCTCTCTCTTACACACACACACACACACACACACACACACACACACATGTATACTCTCTCTCTCTCACACACACACACACATATATACTCTCTCTCTCACACACACATACACACACACTCTCTCTCTCTCTTTCTCTCTCTCTCTCACACACACACAGACTCTCTCTCTCTTTCTCTCTCTCTCTCTCTCTCTCTCTCTCACACACACACACTCTCTCTGTCACACACACACACACACAGACTCTCTCTCTCTTTCTCTCTCTCACAAACACACACGCACACACACACGGAATTGAAAAATTATTATTATTATTATTATTATTATTAAACAAGAATACGGTGCATGTATATTTTGTGAAAATAAGGTTAGCACCTGTGTCACCATTTGTAGTACATGATAGTATAAATAATTACTTAAGTTAATAGAAATAACCCTTGCCTTGATACCTTTGTTTTGTGCCTTTCTTTTTTTCCTGTGGGTGGGTTCAAAGTGGCATCTATTTCGAGAATTGACAAGACTAAGAATTACAAAAGAATAAAAAAGTTTAAAGCAAAACTATCTAACCCCACAGTGACAAATTCTTAGATCTATTTTTAATCTAAGTTTAACCTTTTAAATTTCCTGATCCTTTAATGAAACATTTATTTATTTATTTATTCATTACTCTGTGGAGGTCTATTGATCTTTTCATACTTGCATTTTTGTATTAAAAAATAAAGTGAATTATCATTATGAATATCGGCTATATGGATCAAATATTGAACATCAAAAATAGTAATTTGTATAATGCACACGACAGGCTGGAATATTCCATGTACATGTATTTTCATGACGTCAAGGGAATTTTGGCCACTAGAATTTCATAACGGAACTGTATCGTAGGCTATTTATTTATTTATTTATTTATTTATTTATATGACTAACCTGTGCACAAAAATACCCCACCATTACTATAACTGAAGTTAATGCATTCAATTCTAATTAAGTGAATTTGATAATTTTACTTTTTCCTTTATGTTTATGAACTAAATGACAGAGCCTCTAATTTTTAGTCCATTATCCATTGGTGTTATGTATGTATTAACCATTCAAACGAGTTCCAACGACAAAGGTGGTAAAATTGGAGCCTTGACTGTGCAGTAAACACAGGGAATTAACTGCAATCTTTATTATGACCACTTATTGTTGAACTCAATATTCACAAAAAGTCCAAATAATGCAGTTTTACATTTAGGTGAGAAACTAGTTTTCTTTTCTATGTTCAACTGGTTATGCTTCCTCTCGACGGGAGGCTAATCTGAAAACAAAACAAAACAAAACAAAGTAAAAAATGAAAATACAAACTGTAAAATAATGCATTTTTGGATTAAAACGAACATTTACAATACGATATTAATTTTTCTATTTGCTTATTTGAATACCCATTATATAGCTTGCATTAGATTATATCACAACATTGAATGAAAATAAACACCACATATGACAATAGCAGTATAAATAATAATAATAATATTTATTTCTTATATAGCGCATTCCATTTTTTACATTTCAATGCACTTTACAAATAATTAAAAAAGTCTAAAAATAACAATACTAAAATACTTTAACATTTACTGATAAAATTAATTAAAGAAAGCAGAGAAAATTTATTGATATAACTTTAAAATACTACTAAAATTAACCCAAGCTCACTCTTAATAAATGATAAACAACTAAAAGGTTTAAAGGAACACTAACCATAAAATTCTTTAAAAAGATGAGTTTTAAGACAGGCTTTAAAAGTATTATAGTCACTTTCAGCTCTGATACTAAAAGGCAATTTGTTCCACAATTTTGGAGCATAAACAGTAAAAGCCCGGTCTCCATAGAATTTGTTGCATTTTCTGTCTATTTCACAGTGATTGAGTATAAAATTGTTTTCAAAAGAGTTTCTTGTTAACCTGCGTGGTTCAGATGACTGAATAAGATGTGCAATATAACCAGGTGTGTTTTCTTTAAAAGCTCTAAAAATTATGCACAACACTTTGAATAAAATTCTTTGTTTGATTGGCAGCCAATGCAATTCCTTTAACACTGGAGTGATATGATCCAAGCTCTGGTTCCTTTTTAACTTTTTAACTACATATACATGCAAAACCTGGTTCTCTACTTCTCCTACCACCTTCCTTCCCTTCCCGTTCATCTCGTATATATATTCGTTCTTTTAACTAATAACTTTGAGCAAATTGTATCTGTTGTTAAAATTTCCTGTAGTGCCATTTTCCCTTGTTTATATAAGCCATAAATTCACTCTCATAATTTTTCACAACAATTTCACCAAATGTAATTTCCCACTCGGTTTAGCAGTCTAAGGTTCGCACAATAATCAACATTTTGGTGTGTTACAAGAAGACCTTGACTATGTATTTGTGAAATTACTGCTGTGAACAATCTGTCACATCACCTTTTATCTCCACCAATCTTCTGCTAAACACAAGCAAAAGGGTGGAACTCCGGCGCAGTAGCAACGTCCGTGATCGGTATTACACCGGTGACCACAGCAAATGCATGGAGCACCCCTTGGACCACCCCCTGGAGCTACCCTTCCACCACTCCCTCCACCACTCCATCCACCTTGTGGTAGCCTGGCTGTGTCTATAGCAAAACAAAAATGAAAAAATATAAACGTGTTACTGAAAGTCCGTGAACATTTATTTTGCGTGCAATTTCTAAATTCAAATGTAAATGAAGGAAAGTGACACAGTGGAACTTACAATTTGTCTTCTTTTCAAATTTGCTTAGGGTTTGTGCCAGCAATGCATAGCACCACCTTTGCACTTTCTGAACTCCAAATACACTTTCCTTGTCTAGATTCCATTCGATTTCCTATTGGTATTTGATGGTGTTGAAAAATAATATTTTTGATTGTTTTAGTTTATTTGTGAGAGCTATCTACATGTAACCTGTATAATTTTAAAATTATCCCCATATTTTGCTTTATTATCTAGGGGGAATTGTTATCCTTGTCTTTCCTACTCATCCAAATCAAAATCCTCGATCAGCCAGTGCTGTGAAAACCATTTGACCCCCCCCCAAAAAAAAATAAATAAATAAATAAAATAATAATAATAATGCATAACTTACGCTTTTGACAATATGTAGATTTAAGTCTACTTTAGACAAACCACAATGTACCTGAGCAAGTTTTGGTGTAACACGCCCTTCTTTCAACTTCATCCAAACACCCTTCGCACCAGCGTTTCCTTGTTCTCGTCTGCGTTCCTCTTCCGCAACTGGCGTCACAGGGGGTCCAGTGGGACCACCCAACACAGTAGCAAGTGGGTTGAACTCCGGTGCAGTAGCAACGCCCGTTATCGGTATGACACGAGTGACCACAGCAGGTGCATGGAGCATGTCCTGCAGCTTTTTTTATCCTGGCTGTGTCGATATCAAAACAAAAAATGGAAAATATATAATCGTGTTACTGAAAGTCCTTGGACATTTATTTTGCGGGCAGTTTCTAAATTCAAATGTTAATGAAGGAAAGTGACACAGTGGAATTTACAATTTGTCATTTTTCAAATCTGCTTAGGGTTTGTGCCAGCAATGCATGGCACCACCTATGCACTTTCTGAACTCCAATTACATTTTCCTTGTCTAGATTCCATTCTATTTCTTATTGGTATTTGTTGGTACATGTAGTGAAAAGTATAATCTTTTTGATTCTTTTAGCCTTTTTTTGAGAGTGAAAATTATCCCTGTCTTCTGCTTTACATCTACATCGCTTCATTATTTGGAGAAAATTGTTATCCTTGTCTACCCTGCTCATCTTAATCAAAATCCGCGATCAGCCAGTGCTGTGCAAACCATTTGACCACATTGACCCATTTGACCCCCCCCCAAAAAAAAAAAATAATAATAAAATAATAATAAAAATAAAAATAAATAAAATAATAAAAAAAATAATAATAATACATAACTTACGCTGTTGACAATATGTAGATTTAAGTCTATTTAGACAAACCATAACGTACCTGGGCAAGCTTGGGTGTTACACCCTCTGCCGTCAACTTCATCCAAACACCCTTGGCAGCAGCCTTTCCTTGTTCTTGTCTGCTTTCCGCCCCCGCAACTGGCGTCACAAGGGGTCCACTGGGACCACGGGCAGGGGGCTAGCAACAGGTAAAAGCCCTTTTAGAACTACCGGTACACTTTAGAGCTACAGCCTGTACCAATTTTAAAATAATGTGGCTTTCTTAATTTTTGGAGAACCCACCCAGGTGAGTGGAAAATGTTCCTCCGTCTGGATGTTCATACTCACTTTATGTTGACTTTAATGAAAAATTAGCAAACTGAAACTGGCCAAATGTTTGGTCTGATCATTTCAGACAGATTTTGAGCTATCTATACTGTCAAGAAACTGGACAATGCTTACACCTGGTTCACACTTGGCTCGCATCCTTTACATAATTTTGTATTATCCTTTTTGCACGTGGAATTACAACTAAGCTGCACAAGATTAATACTGATCTATTGGACACTTACTGACGCAAGAAGACACGCCGATGTCGTCCACCAAGTTGTTCAGGCTGGAGGTATCCTCTGCGATGAAGACGGAGTTCGGGTCGCCCTGTGCAATGACCAGGAGCTCAGTCTTATTGATATTCCCTGCTCCGACAGCGATTGAGCGTATCCCATTGGCTTTCAGCGACTCGGCAGCCTCAGGCACGCTTACAGCTCCTTAAATAAAATGATTCCAATGCAACACACTGGCAATTGTTAATGTAGGATATAAAATATAATATTAGTAGTAGCAGTAGTAGTAGTTGTAGTTGTAACACAGTAGTAATACCATGATAATTGTACCCAGGGGCAAATCCAGGATTATTTGAAGGGAGGGGGGGGGCGGGTCCGCGGTTTAAGGCCAACTGAAGGGCTCGAAATGTTGGTATTTTAGAGGGCGAACGGTACGGTTTAGTACTATAAATTGATTAGTCAAATTCTTATTGCAAGAGGAGAATATTAGTGAGATTTTTTTCAGAAACCGAAGGGGTGGGGGGGGTGGGGGGGTCATGATCACCCAGCCCCACCCCCTCTAAATCCGCCACTGGTTGTACCGCGATTTTTAGTAAAAACGGTCAAACTGAATTTACCTATGGTAAAACTATGTACAATATTACAGTATAAAACCGGCTATATCTTACATTCGTTTGACTCTTATGTGTCTGTGTGCCTATGTACATATGTATTGCACAAGTGTACAATATTACCTAAATCCGGGGTTGCCGATCCGTCAGTTAAGACTAAAACCACTTTTTCAACATTGCGGCCGGAGTTCAGGAGATGTTGCTGACACTCCAGCATGGCGTCCGGTATATTCGTCTGCCCGTCTAGGTAGGGGATGGTCTCCAGTCTGTAGATAATGTGATCCGTGCTCTGGCTTTCAGTGAAATCAAACCAAGTTCGGATTTTTCTCCCGAACACCACGATGGCGTATCGGACGGAGATGTCGTTACCGAAGCTTGCCAAACGGCGAACGAGGTTGGTGGCGAATGCCTTTTCGTTTTCCGAGTCCGTCTTTCCGTTCGATTCTTCGTTTTTGAGAGAGCCCGATGCGTCGACGGCAATGCACATATCCAACGTGCACTCTGAAGAAAAATGCTTCATGTGATGTTAGGATAACATTAACGTACTTGTTCATATGTTTTACGCAATTTGTCTAATTATCATAATAATAAAAACGACAAAATTAATTATTATTGCATGGATCGTGCAACTAAAAAAGTTGAATAAAAAAGGGACAATGTAGGTACATGTATGCCTAAGCATATGTCTACAAGAATGAGTTTTGGGTAGAAAGTTCGGATATTAAGGTTATAAACATAAGATGGAAGTGAAAATTATCTTAAAAGCATTGCGGTAAGCAAAAAAAAAAAAAAAAAAAAAAAACCTCTTGTAGTTGTACGTGTTGACTTACCGCTCAATTGTCTCTGCAGTTCCGGGAAGGCAAATGCCTCTGGGGGCAGCTGAGAGACGAAATACAAATGCTCCAGTGTAGGTGGCGCTCGAAATAAAGGAGAAAAGAAGCCAGGAACTCTTCGGACTGAGGTCCCATTGATGATTTCAACGAAGGCGCCTGTCTGTCCCAGGAGGATGGCAAAGATAAGATAATAAAATATCATCGACATCATTGGGATGTTGACCCACTTGACTTGTACCTGAAGAAAAAACGAAGGTGATATTATTATTATTATTATTATTATTATTATTATTATTATTATTGCAACTGCCCGTGACACTTTTAGTTTTCTTTTTTCGGGTTTATTTATTTATTTATTTATTTATATATTTTGAGTATGTCCTTTGTTTTATTATTATTCACGCTCTTGCTCTACTACATGTTATTAAAACGATACGGGCCACTGCAATTACCTTACTGCACCGTCACATGCCTGTGTAAGGCTCGATTTCATATTCAACGATCGAGGAGAAGTAAGCAACAAGAGAGGTGGATTTCCAAACAGCTTTATTCCCACTGTCTTATTTCTTAAGTCGTAAGTACCTAATCTACCCACCACCTGTCCTATTTATATCCAGCTCTACCGTACATTCTTACATGTCTTATTGAAATATTATCTGTAAAGTTAAGATATTATCTAGTCTCTCGAGACAAGTGTCACGAGAGGCGCGCGACATCTTAGGGGACGGGGGACATGCAGAGAATGCAGAGATGCAGAGAATGCAGAGAATAGGTCATTTCGTCAATTTTAATGCAATAATAAATAATTCTTATAACAGCACAGTCAACCAACACTAAAATTTATTCATGCACAACAGGAAACATGGTCAATAAGATTAGTTTCAGAACCATGACACTTCAAATTCACATAATGAAAATCCCAATAGGTAAATAATGATGACAGTGCATATAATAATATTACATAATGTTTAAAGACACAAATACCAATACTTCTGCTTATGTGGAAATACAGAAAATGCACAGAGCCTCAGGTGGATGGGAGTTAAAAGTCACATCTTGAAGATACCAGGGTCTAAAAAATTTAAAAAAAAAATCAAAAAGAAAAAAATCCAATAAAGTTTAATCTAGATGCATTAACATGATATGAATAACCCCATTGAGTATTAGGATAATAAGGCACTAGTATTCATCTATAGCATTAATTTATGCATAACATATGATAATTTTTCTTTTATAAACTTATTTGCAATTAAACAGCATTTACCTACATATTATTATCACTGATTCCTAATTACGTGACACTGTTAATTTAGACTTTTATTAACTGTATCTGGAAGAGAACTAAACCTATGGGAGTTTACAGGGAAATCTCAACGCGTGTGTTTTATGTAATCTCATTTAATGGCCACTTGAAACTTAATTAGGCAAATTACTTAATGGCACTGAATTTAGCTAGGGATTACCCAACGGACAGTTAAATACTGACCACCATCCATATACCCGGTAGCACCATATATCACTCTGTGGAAAATGAACATTTTATAAAGAACTGCATTGCTTCCAAAACATAAAACAATTACACTGATTTTCAAACACAAGCTGCATTTCAGTCCTATGAATATTTTCAGTAAGTTTGAGAATCATAAGTAACATGTTTTTTCCTGAACGGTCATACTGGCAGCAGTTTCCAAAATAGGGTTTTCTTCAACTTTCATGCAATATTACATATGATAATTAAGACCATCACATTTTAATAATAAATAGGATATTAAGAAAATGTGACTAGCAAAGGTCTCCAAGCCCATTGAAGTTCAAAGTCACACCTTGAAAATGACGGCATGTGAAAAATTTAATTCTAACAAAAAACTATATAATTTTTCCAAAAATTAACTGATAACACAGGTTTTACATTTGAAGCTGTATTTTAGTCGTATGTTACTTTTCTGTAAGGTTTAGAAGAGTAAGTGACATGGTTTTCCTTTAATGGTCACAATGGGGGCAGTGCCCAAATATGTTTTGAACCATTTTTGATGCAATATTACATAATGCTTAACAGCATATTGACCATCAATTTTTAATCATAAAAAATATGGATATTCAGAAAATGTGGCTAGCAAAAGTCTTCAAGCTCATGGAAGTCCAGAGTCACACCTTGAAAATGCCAAAATGTAAACAAGAGATAACTTTACTGAAATGATTTTCTTTCTATTTTCAACATCTTTTTAACATAAAACAAAATAATCAGTTTACTGTCATTTTTATAAGATCGACTAAGAAAATTGACATAGCAAAATATCAATAAAACAAGTTAAAATGTCCAATTTGCTCCATTCTGAGATTCTGAACATAGTGTATGATTGAATCTGACAAACTGCAATGATATGAGCAAAATTGTTCATTAGCTTGGTAGTTGGATCAAACACAAGCCGAAATATTTTAGTTTCAAGCCCAAAAGTAAAACCGTTTTCCACTTATCGTGTTATCTGTGTTGCATGCATGCTGAAAAAAAGGGAAAATAAAAAACAGCAAAACTATTAAAAAAATGGCCCGATCATGCTCATCTTCGAACTCGACCTGCGTATTATAAATATTCGTCATTTCTGTAAGTTTCAAGCTAAAGGGTAAAAAGGTTTTCCACATATCGTGATACTGGTGGTGAAAGTGCACGGCGACGACGGCGACGGCGGCAATGGCGACGGCATTGACAGATGCAGGTGACGGCTATATGTACAGACACATCTGTGTCTGTGTCTGTACATAAAAATGGCCCGACCATGTTGATTTTTGAACTCAACCTGCATTTTATGAATTTTCACATCTGTTTCTGTACATAGAAATAAACATTTCATAAAGACGAAACTGAGGGTCGGTGTAACAGAAAGTCCGCCCTCCATATAGTTATAGTAATGGTTAGGATAAGTTTGACCTAAGTGGGTCAAAATCTAGGGCGAGGCTAAACAAAACCTAAACAAATGAATAGGAAACGGACTCTCTGCTATGGGAGACTCTCTGTCACGTTACACCGGTTACCGCACATATTCGGTTATAACTTTTCTATTGTTGCCTGAAATTCAAAGAAGACGCTTTAAAAACACCTGGCTGTATGTTGTCTGTCAGTTCAGTCATAACTGTTCCTCGTTAGAGGTTGTTAATCGCCAGAAATCGTGATTTTAGCGCACCTTGTAAAACTGCTGTCAACAGGTGAATTCAAAATGGCGGAGCAATTTGGGAAGAGACGTATGGCAGTGCGAATGTTTTAGAATAACTGGAAAACTATGATTATGATGGATACATTTTTAATGATTCAGAAAGTAAGAATATGATGAAGGCAAACCGCTAGCTAGATCAGCATGTCGGAGAGATACAGTAACTCTGATGCAGAGCCTGAAATAGACGCCGCTTCCTTCTCTGACGATGTCGAACGTAAGGTACCGGTACATGTACAAGACTTGGATGTGTGAATAAATATGCATTCGGGTTGTATTTGTGTACTTTGTCTTTGTCCTAGATCTAAGCATGCCCTTCCCGGCTAGATGACGCAATAAAAGATGATTCAACAAGACTGTTAACTAATGAAAGGTGTCAGGTTTGTTATCAGATTAGCCCATCTCACCATCTCACCACAAGCCCACTGAGGTTCAAAGTCACACCTTTCAAATGTCAATAGGTGAAAAATTAATTTTCACACAAACCTGTATAACTTCCATAAAAATCAAACAATCAGACTTGTTTTCCAGCTTTTAAGTCCTATGTTTTTTTTCTGTAAGTTTGAGAAGTGTTAAATGGTCACTATGGCATCAGTGCCTACAATAGGGGTTTCTTCAAATTTGATGCAATATTACATAATGCTTCTCAGCATAGTCACCACCAATATTTAACAATGCGCTGCAGGTAACATGGTTATTCAGAAGATGTGATTAGCAAAAATCTTAAAGCCCATGGAAATTCAGCGTCACACGTTGGACATGCCAAAATGTAAACGAGAGATAGATGTAATGAAATGAGTTTATTTCCATTTTCAACACCTTTTGTGGTCTGATAATGCTGTTTTTCGAACTTGACCCGCGTTTAATGAATATTTATCAGTTCTGTAAGTTTCAAGCCAAAAAAGTTAAAGGGTTTTCTACTTATCGTGTTATCGGTGTAATTGCACGACAGCGACGACAGCGACAACAGACGCAAGTGACGGTTATATGTACATATACGTATGTGTCTGTAATAAAAACAGCATTACTTAGATAAAAATGGCCCGATCATGCTGATTTTTCGAACTTGTGTATTATAATTATTTATCAGGTCTGTCAGTTTCAAGCCAAAAGGTAAAACGGTTTTCCACTTATTGTGCTATCTGTGTTGCATAAAAAGTGAAAAAAACAGCATATCTTAAATACTAATGGCTCGATCATGCTGATTTTCGAACTTGACCGGCGTATTATGAATATACATGAGTTCTGTAAGTTTCAAGCCAAAAAGTAAAATGGTTTTCCACTTATCGTGTTATCGGTGAAAGTGCACGACGACGGCGACGACAGATGCAGGTAATGACTTTATGTGTGTCTGTACATAAAAATCGTTCAAACGTGTAAAAGCCGCTGCGCTATCCATTCAAGCACTTGTGACAAAGCGAACATATTTGGCAAATAATTCCGACGCCACGTTTATTCTGCTGAACGCGCTGAAGTGAACCCGAGTGGCTAAAGTTACTTATTCTTGTAGTAGCCACAGTCTAAGTAGCAGTGACACATGTAAAATTGCTTATAACGCCCTGATCAGGGGAGTAGACAACTTACCTTATTGTCCACTTGTATGTATCCTGATACGTCTTCACAGTCGCTCCTTGATCGCTTTCTACTCTGACACTGCCAGCTAATAAGTGGTACATGTGTAATCAAGTAGATGCTGTACGAGTCAGGGAATGCTCACTGATTGCGGATTTGAAGTAGCGGGTGTGTCTCCTCGGATGTCTCGTAGTGGAGAGAGTGATGTTGAATCATCTTCCTTCAAGGAAGTCGTATTATAAGATGGGCTAGGGGATTTTGCCAATATAGGGCTTCGTGTGAGAACTAGTTATTTTCATACCACTTGGTGCGCTGTATTTCCCACTCACAAAATGATGATGTAGACATATGACCCTTTTAAGCTGAAGATAAGGGGAAAAATTAACAGCAGTGAAGCTCGCTAGTTAAATTTATTGTTTTCGTGTGTGTGTGTGTGTGTGTGTGTGCGCGCGTGTGTGTGTGTGTGTGTGTGAAAGAGAGAGAGATAGAGAAAAGATAAATCTAGTAATCACTTTTTTATTTTTAAAGTTGCAAGACTGGTGTTAGTTAATTTCCATTTGGACAAAGAATTCTTTGCACGTTTATCTTGATAATAATAATAATAATAATAATAATAATAATAATAATAATAATAATAAACTTTATTTATAGAGGTTCAAAACATGTTATGTGTATACACCTACCTGACACATGGCCCTGTGGGGTGTTGGAATGAAATATTGTGTGAATGAATAAAAGATGACTAATATAAATTAATAAAATAATAATTATAATCAAGTAAATTTGATACAAATTAAAAGTAATAATAATAAGACAAATAAAGCAAAAAGGCAATATGTAAGAAAAAATATTACAGCTGCATTATATATATATAGGCATATATATATTTATATATATATATATATATATATATATATATATATATATTTTTTTTTTTTTTACTTTTTAGAAATATTTGTTAAAGTATCCAAGTCTTTGGGGTTTTTAATTTCGAGAGCTTTAGGCAATTCCATATTTCAACCAAAGTCCATATTGAGCCTTAATTGCATGTCTTTATGTCTGCCAATTGGTAAACAGAGATTTCCCTTATTACGGGTGATTCTTCCTCTAGTGTCTATGGTTGTATTACTGGTGCCCAGTCAGCCCCTGGTGTATTTTGGTGAATTTCCATTTAGCGGTTTAAAAACTAGTGTGGCTTTTTAACATTCTGTCTGTTCATAAATTGTTTGTCAGTTCACTTTCTTCTTCATAGTCTACAAGTGAAGCCATCTAGTTATAAGATATCCTCATTCCCTGATGAAAATGTCCTGCTAGACATCGAAATATTGGAGGTAAAAATCTCAATATTAGCTGCTGATTGAAGAAAAAAATCACATCATTCTTATAACATAACACAGCTGATGAAATTCTTCTCTAGCGATCTAGTATATTTTTCTTTTGACGACGCAGACTTCATGCCAATGACCAGATATAAGTAGTTGTCAAATTAATCAATCCTTCTAAACTATAGCATTTTTTATTCCAAAGGTAATTTGCCGGGACCCGTGGGAGCCTGCATGCATTCATTTTCGCGCCTTCCATCTATGTACCTTTTTTTCTTCTTAAAGTAATCAAACGCATTTTTTAGGCTTTATTTTTGGCAAATATTTACATTGAACAATCTAGTATTTAAGCCCGTTTAAAAATCCTAATTGGGATCTCGCCTAGCCCGGTTGATAACTGGATTTCATTGGGATCCGGCCTGTGACACACACAGTATAATTAGTACAGTATCAGTTTCCAACCTGGTTTCAAAAAAAAAAAAAAAAAAAAAAAAAAAAATGCCAACCTAGAAACCTATCGCTGTCGCAATTTGACATGTTGCTGACCCCCTCCAGTATTTCTTCATTAACTACCACTGACAGCACAATCTTGGATATATCATGACCTCAACATTTGTCGTCTCCCACATGTTTCATCGCATTAAATAAGGAAAATCGACTTTCTGAAAACAAGGGTGTAACCATACTCATCTGTATAAGTAAATACTCTGCCAAATAACAAAATCGGAAGACATATTTTTATACTTTACATACCTTTCGACCTTGCCCCAATTACCCGATTGCGTCTACAGTGAGATGGGTACCGTTGAGGGGGTAAGGTTATTTCTAAGCTGTTTGCACTGCCTTTACCGCTTGATATGCAATGTAAGTAATGCGCAGATTAAATGTGAACCGGATGGATTCTGTGCACTCACGTCATTTAATTTAGTAATAAAATGCACCTATTAAAACCCGATTAGAGCTCCGCTTTAAACATTTATAGCTACCGGTAGCTTCTCAGCCTCTTACACATGGGCATCATCTCTCTCTCTCCCTCTCTCTCTCTCTCCCATACACCCACACACATACACACACACACACACACACGCACACACACGGGATTGACAATTTATTACTATAATTATTATTAAACAAAAATACGGTGGATGTATATTTTTTGAAGATAAGGTTAGCATCTGTGTCGCCATTCGCAGTATATGATAGTATAAATAACTGTTTAAATGAATAGAAATGGCCCTTGCCTTGATACCTTTGTGTTGTGCCTTTCTTTTTTCCCGTGGTTGGGTTTAAAGAGGCATTTATTCTAAGAATCGACAAGACCAAGACATTACGAAAGGGAAAAAAGTTTAAAACAGAACTATCTAACCCAACAGTGTCAAATTCGTACATGCATTTTTACAACAGTTTTTCCTTTTGAATTGCCTTTTCCTTAAACGAAACATATAATTCATCAAATTTTATTTATTTAATTACTCCGTGAAGGTCTAATAAGCTCTTCATACTTGCGTTTTTGTATTAAAAAAGTAAAGTGAACAATTATTATTCGTTACAGCTATATGGGTCAAATATAACAGATAGGGTAATTTATATGATGCACATGAAAAGTATTAATGCTGGAGCATTCCATGTTGACGTAGAGAAATATTGGAATTAAAACCTACGCAATTCACGGGTAATACATATTGTGTGTAATGTGTCGTGCGTTGTGAGTGGATGAAATATCAGAAATGTTGTACTAAAAAGCAAGGAAAATGAAAATAAAAGAGCAAAGATGGTGATTAATCAATTTGCAATCAACGATGAATTATAAAACAAAAAGCACTAAAAGGCCAAGTTTTTATTCCAATGAAAGGTATTATATTCACAAAAATTTCCACCGTTTTAATTATAACACCCGAGAAACGATGACTCTTAATTTCATGAGGCTACATTTATCGTGGGCATAATGTCAGGATGTTCAAGGTAGATTTTGAAAGAGATAAAACGAGCACCACAGGCAGCTCAAATCTTAATTTCTTTATTCATTCAGATTTTGTTTTCAGTCAAACTAATCTCCTATATGTTTTCGAAACCTCACAGAGGTACCAGTGGGTGTGTCACCATATGTTATTTCACTTAACATCCAAACCAAGACGATGGCACGTATGATCCTGAAATAGATTAATAAATCGATTAAATATATTAGAAAACAAACAATGGAAACATGACTTGACGAAAAGCAATGAAATGCATATGCAAACAATATTATTCACTCTCAATGCATGGTTTTTTTTTTAAAGCCCCATCGTGCTTACTTACCAGTACATGTGGTATATGCAAAATTGATTTAATGCATACATCAGCTACTTAACGAATTAAGATTTTGACAAATACAGAATGTATTTATCATGGTTATGTTAAAATCTTACCAAGACAGCAGTAAGACTTGCAAGACTTATAGTCTGTCGCAAATCCTTGACAATCCTTCCCTCCATGTTGCGGGGGAGGTTCGGTGCAGGTACGGGTACGGGTTTGGAAGCACCCAAGTGCGTTGCATCCGCCCCATTCACTCCATGAGCTCCATCCGCCGTCAACTGAAATAAGTGTTTAACAGTTAACTTAGGGAAAAAGCTGGATATCTTATTCTCATGAACTCTTATGATAAACATGACAAATGTTTCCTTTTAAATTCCCATGTCAGAAAAGTTAAACTTCATAAATTTAAAAAAAAAAAATATATATATATATTTATATATATATATATATATATATATATATGCGGAATAGTGCAAACTGTCTATTATTACATTAGGCCACACTTTTTTAATTTTATGGATGACATCCTGCGCACGCACGGATTTTCGCCCGTTCTCCAANTTATAGGCATCTATTAAGCATGTTTTTTTTTCAGTTAGATGACTGTCACGTTCATGCAGTCAAAACTTAAGGGTATCTTGGAATTAAATGTTGTATCTCTATAAAATGATATCTTACAAAACACTAGAGGAGTCTAACGATGCCATGGTTTTTCATTGTATACTATAATATAGTGTCAAGTTTATTAGGAAAACTCAATTCAATGTAAAGAATACAAAAGTTGACGAAGCTGACCCAACAAATCTTGCCTAACAAATCTCATCAATCGAATGCTGTGTTGAGATTTCGCTGTAAAATCGAAACCCTACACGAAGATGCATACTCATTCTTTGAGCAGTTATTGGGACGGCCCGGGAGGTTGATTTTTTATTTATTTATTTATTTTTTTTTTTGTAATACGCGGAAGCATTTGCCAAAAAGTCATTAATTTTACAAAAAAAAAATCATAATAATAATATAACATTTTAAAAAGAATGGATGCAATATTTCATCTTAATAACATAAAAAACCAAGCAGTTGAATTTTACTTTAAGGTATTATTGCATACAATGATAGGTAATAACGAGGAGCGAGTGCGGTACTTTACTTGCATAAGAATTATTTTCTCAAAACATACAACTTGCATAAATGGAGTTATGACCAATATTCAGCATTTTTTAATATCTTACTTTCCTTTATTATGACACACTCAGAGTACATCGTACATAGATCAATTATGTACCTTTAAAAACGGACATTTTGTTACGAAGGTGATAAAGCAGAGAGATCAATGATCATTCCTGCATCAGCATCATTTTAAGGCTTTTCATTGAAGGAAAAAGAAATATTATTGAAGACGCAGACTTTATGATAATGACCAGCAATAAGTTCTTGTTGAATCGTTCACATAATGTAATTAAATTATACCGTTTATTTATGCAAAAGGGGGGGGGGGGGGGGGGCCTGTGTGCATTTTCGCGCATTCCCGATTCCGGGGCGTTGACATGCGTCATCCGGGATTCGAACTCGTGAGTTTCTGTATTCATGGTTTGGCGTTGGGTTTGGCTGTGTTTTACAACCGTGCACGCTACCGACTGCGCCGTGACTGCGCCGCCCAACCTCCGTATTTACGTTTTTCCTCTTGTAGTAATCAAAGGCAATTTTTAGAAATTATTCCTGGATAAAAAAAGTTACGTAGAACGGTCCAGAATTCGAAAACACGTAGAAGGGGCTAGCTGCGTTCGAGACAGCGGTGTTACCACGGAGCCACGGAGGATTCGTTACACGTAGTGAAATCAAATGAAAACGTTCTACCTTGTCACGGAGAGGGAAAGTTTGGATGAAGGCCTGAATGTATATATCTTCAATTACGATCCACAGCCCGTGAGTCGTGAGACGTATTTCATCCGGCTCAACGCCAGTCCCCGGACATGGTCTTATCATAGTTCATGAGGCACATGAGGCCTTCTTTGAGATGCCGACATTTAGCGATCCTAGATATATTACCTTTTTACAACGACTTTGTTTTTAAGCTGCGATTTAGTTTGGCTTCACCAATGCAGTTTAAGAGCACAGTGGATCGATTTTAGTTTAAGCAAGCACCTAAGAAGAGGGAATCATTTAAAAACCGTGCAAATGTGTAAAAGCCGCTGCACTTTCCATTCAAGCACTTACGACATAGCGAACATATTTGGCAAATAATTCAGCAGGGAAGATGTCACTTATACTCTGCTGAACGCGCTTTACAGGTGGTTTGACGTGGTGCTATATCAATTCCAGTATGGTCGCTTTAATTAATACAGTGTAATCATTTGAATCGTTCCAAGTTAGATGGCTTGAGATGTGTTTATTTTAATTTTGTTTTACCTCTGAGATTACGTTTGACTTCACCCTTGACGTTATAAAGCACAATGAGAGCCAAAGCGGTTCACACCTTGTGGGTATTAGCTTGAGCAGTCTTCGCCACATTAAATGTGCACTGTGGAGTTGCCCCGGGTACTGTATGACCAAATGAACAGTCTTGATAAGCAAGTCATAAGAGGAGGGGCGGGGGCACAAAAATCAAAATGTTTGATTGGGTAAAGCAATAGCGGCGATGTGACTTTTGAAAAAATATGTTTGATAATCCCAGCTAGAAGAAAACACTTTTTGATGAAATGGCAGTATGACACGCATGGCGGCATGTCGGATTATCTATTGACTCAATACAAGTTTGATCTGTTACGTAGCTGGTAAAGGAGAGAGATCAATGTCCATCCCCGCATAAGTTGTTGTCAAATCAATCACTCCTTCTAAACTATAGCACTTTTTATACAAAAGGTAATTTGCCGAGACCCACGGGAGCCTGCATTCATTTTCGCGCCTTCTATGTATGTAGGTTTTTCCTCTTAAAGTAATCAAAAACAATTTTAAGGATTTATTCTTGGGAAATATTTACATTGAACAATCTAGATTTCAAGCCCGTTAAAAAATCCCAATTGAGATCTGGCCTCGTGCAGTTAGTAACAGGAGTAGATTTCGATCTGACCTGTGACAAATATACAGTATAAACAGTATCAGCTTTTAGCCTGGTTTCCAAAAAAAAAAAAAAAAAAAAAAAATGCCAAGCTAGGAACTTGTCGCTGACACAAACTGACACGTTTTCTGACCCCCTCCACTATGTCTTCATTAACTACCACTGATAGCACGATCTTGGATATGACCTCAACATTTGTCGTCTCCCAAATGTTTCATCGCATTTAATAAGGAAAATCGACTTGAAAACAACGGTGCAACCATACTCATCTGTGCAAGTAAATAACTTTTCAAATCACGAATCCGAAGACACACATGTACATATATTATTATACTTTACATACCTTTCTACTTTGCCCTAATTGCGCTATTGAGTTCACGGTGAAGATAGGTAGAGCGAGGTGAGGTTATTTCTAAGCTATTTGCAGCACCTTTACCGCTTTATATGTAATGTTAGTAATATGCAGATTAAATGTGAACCAGATGGATTCTCTGTGCTCTCACGTCATTTAATTTAGTAATAAAATGCACCTATTAAAACCCGATTAGAGCTCCACTTTAAACATTTATAGCTACAAGTAGCTTCCCAGCCTCTTACACATGCGCATCATCTCTCTCTCTCTCTCTCTCTCTCTCTACACACACACACACACACACACACACACACACACACACACTACTCTCTGATATTAGCCAGGGAGTCCTAATTAGTATACACAATTTAGGCTATATGCTACTATGCTAGCGCATCTTGTGGTCAGAGGGCACATTCTCTCTTTCTCCCCCCCTCTCTCTCTCTCTCTCTCTATCACACACACACACACACACACACACACACACACGGGATAGAAAACTATTATTATTATTATTATTATTATTATTATTATTATTGTTATTATGAAACAAGAATACGGTGCATGTATATTTCCTGAAAATAAGGTTAGCATCTGTGTCACCATTTGCAGTATATGATAGTATTAATAATTATTTAAGTCAATAGAAATTGCCCTTTGCTTTGACACCTTTGTGTTGTGCCTTTCTTTTTTCCCGTGGTTAGGTTCAAAATGACATCTATTCCGAGAATCGACAAGACCAAGATATTACAAAAGGGTAAAAAGTTAAAAGCAAAACTATCTATCCAAACAGTGTTAAATTGTTACATGTATTTTTACAACAGTTTTACCTTGTAAATTGCCTGATCCTTAAACGAAACATATAATTCATCGAATTTTTATTTATTCATTCATTTAATTACTCCGCGAAGGTGTATTAAGCTTTTCATGCTTGCATTTTTGTATTAAAAAGTAAAGTGAATAATTATTATGAGTGACAGTTTTATGGGTTAAATATAACAGACAGGGTGACTTATATGATGCACACGACAAGTTTTAATGCTGGAGCATTCCATGTATATGAATGATGTCGAGATATTGGAATTAAAACCTACGCAGACCACGGGAAATATAAATAGTGTGTAATGTTTCGTGCGTTGTGAGTGGATGATATATGAGGACTATTGTACTAAAAACAAGGAAAATGAAAGGAAAAGAGCGAAGATGGCAATTAAATTGCAATCAACGATGAATTATAAAACAAAAAGCACTAAAAGGCCAAGTTTTTATTCCAATGAAATCTATAAAATTCACAAAAAAATTCCACCGTTTTACATGTAACTATAACACCTGAGAAACGATGAATCTTAATCTCTAGAAGTTAAATTTATCGTAGGCGCAATGTCAGGATGTTCAAGGTAGATTTTGAAAAAGATAAAACGAGCAACACAGTCAGCTTATTTTAAATTTCTTTATTAGTTCAGATTTTGATTTTAGTCAAATTACATAAGCGACTGATGTCTTTTTTTTTTCGAGACCTCACAGAGGTTCCACATGGTGTCACGCATGCTATTTCCGTTAACATCTAAACCAAGACGACGGCATGTATGATCCTGAAATAGATTAATAAATCGATTATATATATTAGAAAACAAACAATGGAAACATGACTAGACGAAAAGCAAGGAAATGTATTTGCAAACAATAGCTCAATGCATTGTTTTTTTTTTGTTTTTTTTTAACCGCCCCATTGTGCTTACTTACATGTAGTACCCTGGTATATGCAAAATTGATTTAATGCATACATCAACTACGCAACGAACTAAGATTCTCACAAATACAGAATGTACTTATCATGGTTATGTTAACAGCTTACCAAGACAACAGTAAGACTTGCAAGACTTATAGTCTGTCGCAAATCCTAAACAATCCTTCCCTCCATGTTGCGGGGGAGGTTCGGTGCAGGTGCGGGTACGGGTTTGGAAGCAACCAAGTGCGTTGCATCCGCCCCATTCACTCCATGAGCTCCATCCGCCGTCAACTGAAATAAGTGTTTAACAGTTAACTTAGGGAAAAAGCTGGATATCTTATTCTCATGAACTCTTATGATAAACATGACAAATGTTTCCTTTTAAATTCCCATGTTAGAAGAGTTAAACTTCATAAATTAAAAAAAAAAATATATATATATATGTCTATTATTACATTAGATTTCTTACTTGGACATGGCTGCGAATTACACATCTCCTCTTCAATACTGCTTCCAACACAGTCTGCGCCGCCATTGGCTGGGGCTGGGTTGCTGCACTGCCTAGTGCGCGTGCGCTGACCTCCTCCACAGGTGGTGCTGCATTCTGACCATATGCAGCACCACTCTCCCCATTGGCCGTTAACTGTAAGTCAGACAGTCAGACACATTAACGCAGTGTAATGTGGACATGAAATAAGTTACGAATTTATTCCGTTTTTACTAATTTGTGTGGCGAGATTGAAATTGAGAGAGTGGAAATAAAAACAGACAATTTGATAAATGACATGAAATCATAGTTGAATATATGACTGGCTTCATAAATAAAATATTAATTGTTGAATCATTAATTTTTTAAACTAAAAATCAATATATTAATTAACAATATACAGGGAAAATATAACAAACAATCTTAATGAATAAATAGATAAAACACGATAATAATACAAATATGAATCTTACTTGGACAGTCCTGAGTGTTGCATTTATTGATCTCAGATGCTGGTCCCACACACGGCGTCCCTGCCCCGGCCTGAGACGGATTGCTGCATGTCCTTGACCTGATTTGATAGCCCCCACCACAACTATCCGTGCACGCCCCATAGGCTGACCAATCGCCCCACTGGCCATCCACGTTATCTAGAAATGCATGTTCAACAAGCACTTGGCCAAATGTAGTGACATCAGCGTGACTGTTCATGGCAGAGTCACGAGTGTCGGAATGGAAGCTTTTACCAAACTGTGCATTCAAAAGTCGGCGTAAAATTGAAATTTTGGTAAAGATATTCAACGATGGACCACTACATGACGTGAGATGCGAGGGGTTCTGATAATTCATTATTGAATTTGCAATTGATAACAAAGTATTAAAGTACTTTAGGTGATAAATCCACGCTCTAAGATCCAATTTTCCATTCGAATATACTTGGTCAGTTGACTAAAAATACAGATATACGTACATGGACAAGGGTCAGTATTACATGACCGGACGTCCAGTCTGGCCAAGCACTTGTCACAGCAATCTATCATGGTCCTCGTTTGCACGCCGCCTCCACATGGAATGTCACACGGACTCCAATCCGACCACTGACACGGACCTGGCAACATGCAATGTGGAATACAACATATGGTTCAAGAAACATATGAACATATATTACACATGCCAATGTCCATTAAAATGGATGTTCATACATTGTGTTTAGATTTTAATCTTAATCGAATTCGTCTCACTGGAACGTTCGCTTCGCAGTGTATAATGGGTAGATCTACATGTATTATGGTTTCTTGATAATATTGGACTAATTTGTTGCATTTTTCCTACACCTATAATTCTAATTATCTTACATTTTATGATTTGATTTTTGTGATAAAATCTTATAAAACATTGCACCAATGTTAGCCGCAATAAATGGGGCAATACATTCTTCGCTGTATGGGTCACCTACCGGGCGGTGTTGTAGTAGTCGTTGTTGTGGACGTCGTGGTGGTGGTGTCATTCTTTTCTGATAAATGAAATCAGTTTGTTTTAACAACTCTGCTAATATTAAAAATAATTGCAATTCAAGCATAGAGTAAAAAAAAACATTACATGCAAACAATAGTGCAAATAAACAGCGGTGGGGCGCCGATCGATGGACTTAAAAAATAAGAAGAAGATTATGAAGAAGAAGAATGATACGACTTGTAGTAATGGTGACGTGACACTTAAGGGCACTTTACAAAGCGGGTTTATCATCACACTCACTGGCACAGGATGATATGCCGATGTCATCTACCAGTTTGTTCAGACTGCTGGTATCTTCTGCTATGAACACCGCACTCGGATCTCCCTGCGCGATGACCAGGAGCTCGGTTTCGTTGATATTTCCGGCTCCAACCGCAATCGTGTTAATTCCATGAGATTCCAACGAATTGGCTGCCTCAGCCACAGTCAAAGCGCCTAGAAATTAAGAATACATGTACAACTGATGTATGCGAGCGTTAGCACTTAAATATGTATTATCGGTATATATCTTTCATAGTATGACAGAAATCCATATACTTCTCATACCATCTCAGCTTGTTTGAAACAAAAAGAAAAAAAAGCGTCCCCAGAAATAGACAAAATGAATTGTTGGTGGTTAAAGGAGCAGCATGTTTATTTATATAATAGTCAGTTTCTCTGAATTACATACTGATATTTTCCAATGTTACAACTATGTCCTGTCACCGTTCAATTAACACAGACTTAACACATTACCTAAACCTTTGCTTGATACCCCGTCTGTTAACACCAAAGCCACCTTGTCGACATTACGTCCGGAACCGAGGAGAAGGTTCTGGCATTCAATCATCGCATCCGGTATGTTAGTTTGACCGCTCAGATAAGGCATCGTCTCCAGTTTACCGATGATATGATCCACATTCTGGTTCTCGGTGAAGTCGAACCAAGTGCGGACGTTCTGGCCAAACACAACGTTGGCGTAACGGACACTGACGTCCTTCCCGAAACTGCTGATACGCCGAACGAGATTCGTCGAGAAAATGATCTCGTTTTCCCACCCGGTCTTCCCGTTTGATTCTCTCTCGGTCAGACTGTATGATGCGTCGACGGCAAGGCACATGTCCATTGTACAATCTAGGGGGCAGATGATAACATATTCACTGGCAGATTAATTATTAAAGTGAAGAGTGGAGGCAAGGTTGAAACAAAAAGGTCAAAAAGTCATACGTTATATTTACTACCTGTTACAGTTATAAAAAAAGGATTTCACTGCCACTTTCACTTGATGTAGAGTGATGTAGTGGTGATGTACATGTAGAGTAAAAGTTACGTGTATAACGTGGACTTGATTGCAATACCTCCGCAACTCACATTCACGACACAATCATGTGAAAACCACCGTACACCGAACAAAAGCTAAACAATTTTTCTGGTGATTTTCTATCAAGTTCTGTATATTCTATTGCACAACAATGCGAAATCACTGTATGTTTTGTGTGTCATTTTTGTAATATTTTCTAGACGTACGACACACTGCAGTGACAGTAAAGAACTGCCCTTATCGCTAAAATGTTGACGTTATTCTCGAGGATTGTCGCACGTTTTCTAGACTTACATGACGTCATGCAATGTCACCAGACTCGTTTTAAGCTACGCCAGATGATCCCCATAATTACAGCATGTGAATACGAGATTTGGCCTCACCTTTCAGCTGCTCTATTAGACGAAGATTACGAAACGCCGCAGCGGGTAGGGGACTCATGAAGTAGTCCGGTGCCAATTCTGCAGGGCGTGCAAACGACTGGGCAAAGAACATGCGTTCTCGCGGGAGCGAGATCTCAGTACTAGCCTCGAAGCCACTCAGGATATGACAGACGAGGAGTAAAAGAAACGGTGATGACGTCATCATGGGTTTGGGCAGCTTAATAAATAAAAAAAGAAAAATTAACAGTGAATGAATCTCACCAATACATTATTAGATGTATGCTGTTCATGTGTGCGTATTGTGAGATGAACGTCAACTCTGTTTGACTTTGCTTCGCGACAAGTACAGCTGTACTGGGTAACACGCGCCATGGAGCCACAGTAAAAAAAAATGATTCCCAATGATCTGAACTGGTACAGCCAGTTGAGACAGGGATGGTATGCATGTTGATGGAAACGAATCTAGCAACCGAGACAACGAAAAAAGTTTTTTTCCGTCCTTTCATTGCATAGTGTTGTCTCTAATGTTATCAGGCCATTTATATAGCACTTACATATCCCTTGGCAGTTATTAATGGCATTCCACTGACTGATCCATTTTTAGAGAGGGGGCGGGGGAGAGGGGGATGGGGTGTGGCAGAAGGATGAAAAATAAACATTGGCCGATGAGTATTATACTAAAAAATACGCTAGATTTTGATTTGTTTCGCCTGTTATACGAATTTGTGTGTGTGTGTGTGTGTGTGTGTGTGTGTGTGTAGGGCGGGTGGAGGGGCGGTTAAGTCACCCTCAGGGCTTGCTCCACTCTCCCCTTCTGGGCCCACTATAGCAATATTGTCAAATAGATATTTGTATAACTGCACAGTTTGGATTCTGATTGTGCAGTTATGTTCTAATCATGGAAGCTGTTTTGAGCGTTATGCAACCATTGGAGCTACCAGTCGAGAAAACATATTTGACGAAAGTGGTTTCATCTTATTACAGTTACTAGTAAATGGCATTCTAAATGGAATGTGTTGCCAGGATTTGTTTTCACTTGTAATCAACCCATGCTAGATTAATATACTTAATGTTCGTATATTAACGAGATCAGTGGCAGTTTGGTAGAGCGCTCTTACAAATATATAGCTTTGAGGGTATCCACTTCCCTTCTCACCCACCCCCGTCCCCCAAAAGACAGCATAATATGCTAAACGAGACAAAGCATGTCTTTTACCCTTAAATTGTCGTGAAAACTAGTCTATTGTTTTATAATTGCTCTAATTTTGTATAAAAATATTTTCACCGCGCCCTCCATCCACAGCAAACCCCCTGTCCCACCAATGCCGGATCAACTGTGAATTTCAATACGATGGCCTCTCACTACCGTGACTGGTAAATTTGTCAGCAGAGTCATCAAAGTTATGTTTTTTTTTTAAATTTAGCAAACAATTAGGGTATGTTAGCCCCCTATCTAATCATGATGATAAATTCAACAAATATATGTTATTTCGCCCTCTTACTGATAAACTGATAAAAAAGGGTACTGATAGCTGTTCATGTTTCGAGATACATTGTAGATCGGTATTTCAGTTTTCACCCCCAAAAACGCTGCTGTTACGTCATCATCTGGAATTAGTATATTATCCATAACGTCATTTCTGCATTATCGAAGCGAAAAGGGAAAAAATCTTCGAGCAAACCATCATGTATATTAACTTTAAGTTTCTTTGAATTTAAGTCAGGCATCGCAACAGGAGATTCGTTGTCGAAACCGAGTGAAAAGTCGCCGTTTTAAACTTAAACTGCCCTCTTTGATACGAATACTTATCACATCAGAAAAAAATTTGAGGATAATATTGTTGATATTCTAAAGTATGATTCATCAAAACAACACCATGGGTTTTTTGTTTTACATACCTCTGCTTTCAATATGACTCTGTCACCTGTGAATATGCACAGCAGGCAGCCACACACCAAGTTAAATGCAAAATGCTGAGGATTCTATGTAACATGTCGGCTTTATGCAGGATTTATGCAAACGGAGTGGTCTCTCTTTACCGTCAATCTACATTATGAAGTAATAAAATGCAGCTGCGTCTAAGCAGGTATTTTACCTGTGTAAAGGACATGTTTGAAGTACCCTCCTGCACATGCACTGACACGTTACATCTCATTACATCATTATATCTCATCTTTATTGTCTCAAAGAAAAAAAACACGTTTTTTCTTATCTCTCTTTCTTACTCTCTCTCTCTCTCTCTTTTGTTGCCTTCTCTCTCTCTTTCTCTCTCTCTCTCTCTCTCTCTGCCACAAACGCGCTCTTAACACTTAACATTAGTCTTATCTCATTATTTAAATGGTTTTTATTTAATTCACATTGGTTTTACAAGTACAGGCACATAAATATGTGGTGAATTGAATAATTCGCAAATAATTTAATTCTAATGTCATTATCAGACTCGGTTGTTGTTGTTTTTAACGAATTCTAGCTCAAGTGACGGGAAGATATAGGATGAGAACGAACATGTCTGCTATCAGGTGATGAGTAATTTATTAAAATGCCATGTTCCTTTTTACTTCTTTTTTATGTTCTTAACGCGACAATTAATCAAAATAACTTTTAAGTGTGATAAAAATACTTTCTGTATGCACTCATTCAGCAGGGTGCCGGGCACTTAAAGCTCTCTCTTTGGGCAACGCATTCCTTGAAACTGCTTCAGAGCTTCCCAAGTTGTACGTCGAAACTCTGCACACGGTAAAGAATGAAACGATTCCACAAAGTGTTTTACTCAACTAAAAATGTACGTGATACAAACAAGGTTAATTCTCGACTCGGAGCAAGAGCACCCTCTGTGTCCGTACTTCTTACATATTTCCTGTGCATTTTCCTAAATTAAAATGTCAATAATTTGTGACTTGCACTCATTCAATCCAGACTTACCAACAAAGGCGGGTAAATGTATATACAAGGACTTTATGTCGTTCGCTCTGATGATTAACCAGTGCATGGCATTCCTCTTCAAGCCCCCCCCCCCCTCCCCCCCTGCAGTCTGCGATATCACTAGGTGAAACAACTTATGTCGGAGATCGTTCCTCTTGATTATCATTATTTATTATTATTATTATTTATTGCAATTATCGTAAAAGACGTGAATTAATTTCGGAACAAATATTTCACTTAAAAAGAAAACAGAAAGCGCAGACCCCTTCGATGGTGACGCATCTGTTATTATTATAAATAAATTACAAATCATAGATATATAGTCAAGTCATTTGATTGGTGCATTAGCGGCAGACCGATGACAAGAATAAAATACAGGTGGCGCTGTTACTGATTGTGCCAGCTGTCTGACTGCATTGGGCGGTCGTATTATAATGGGATAGATTTTAATTTTACACTCTGCATCAGTCTTGACTGAATTTGTAATATTCATGAGAAGCTAGGGATGGGGGTGTAGCTAAAAGTGCTAAATCGACTGAGCAATTCCCGTATTAGGATTGTAAAATGTCATCTACCATTCTGTTACGGCCCACGGTTTTTGAATTATCAAAGGTTTTAGCTTGACGATCTTGTAGAGGGTACTAATGCCGTTTCTTTATTTTTTATTGTCCAAAATTCTCTGTTCCAAATTTCCTCTTGATTGACTGCTTATGGATAAATTGATTTCAACCATACAAAGTGGGAAATCATGACCTTATTCTTACCTAATGTGTCTTGAATGGAAAAAGTATTTGGTTTTCGGAGTGGTTTTCATATATGACACATTTATTTTTTTTTTAGAAAACGTAGAGCGTTTCTCTTAACAAATGGTAGATTTGAAGCTTTGATTGAAATACCGCAGACAAAAGATTACTGGTCATAAAGTTGTCCGACAGCCATCTCGCGGTTTATGACTACCATTACTATAGCTAAGGATCATTATTGAAAACGATAAGGGGTTCATATGTAAATTCCTTGTTAATAACTATCATTCAATACCTGTACGTTGCATCTTATCAAAGAAGAGGAAACATTAAGTTTAGCGATCAAGAGAGCTGATTAAGTGGTCTCCTCTATAAGGAAGTGTTCTAAGACGACTTTCATGTAAGTATACCTCGCTGATACAGAAAAGACTGTACTTCATCCATTTACTCCCCAGCAAAGGTTTTTGGATGATTATTCAATATGTTTCGACTTTTGATGATTGAACGGATTACACGTTCTGTTAATTTTTTTTTTTATTTTTTAGTACATTAGCATCGTCATGAACGTACATGTATACGTTAATCTTATTGGAGTTTCTATGTTTGTGCAATTTAAAATATTTGGTTTTTTTTTCAGATCAGCATTCAACAGTGCAAGATGCCGATTGTCGTAGAACCACCTCTAGTGGGTAAGCCCTTTTCTTTTACATTCAAAACAGATGATTTGGAGAAGAGAGCAACGAGCAAATAATCAATCAGAATTTTAGGTTTTATTTGCTCAGCGCGTGTTTACTGTCGTCACGACATACCGGGAAACATTTAACGTTTGTTGATCTTGACTGTATAAATGTGGCAAGGTTTTTTTTATTGTGACAAAAGAGAAATGTATTATCTAGAACAGAGCGCTAGGAGACCTTAACACCTCCCCCCAACGTCACTATAATACGCAGAAGCGACGTATCACAATAAAGTAAATTCTTGCTTACTGGGTACTTCAGATGGCACCCTTACATTTATCTCTGTCGAATCTTGTTATTGTTTTAGTTCGGCATAACTAATGTCATTAATACCTACTGTAATTCACATTTTACAGATGAATGGTACACGTGTAGTCATGTAATTCATTAGATATACAAGTATATAAGCACCCCATTGTATTTCCAGCGTATACAAACGACAACAGTACAAGCCTATTCGGTCCTTGTTCAACAGAATTGTCCATTGGCACTCTCTACCCGCCACTGGCCTGTGGAGATAACACACGATGTGTCCAGAATCCTCTGCTGTTCCCTTTCACAACCGGTTCCTCCCAGGGCTGTCTCTGTCCCCTGACCTCTGTGCCTACCGTGAATGGAACGTGCCTGGACAGTAAGTGGTTTACGCCGTTTCGAATCCTAAAATTCTGTCTATATCGATGTATCGCAAATCTATATCTCCGTTATTTATGAGAATGAGACACCAGTTAAAAACGGAGAACCCAAATTGGGCTGAAGATCACAATTTCCTCAACAGTTTTGAATATGGTATACTACTAGTCTAGTACCTTTGTGATTAAGGGAAGGGCTGAAAGTCACAGGATTTTGATTTGCTACTGTACATGTATTTGTTATTTACGGTACGATAAAGTAGGGTCATTTATCTGTTCAAGTATCATTTTTGAGAATCATAGAACCTTACACTATGTTTTTTCTTTTTTTTTTTTTTTTTTTTATTTTATTTTTTTTTTTTTGAAGTCATACTATTGAGGATTTACAGGGTGTAAATTCCTGCACCAATTCCACATTGCGTAATCATAGTTAGTCGACACGTTATTATCTAATTTGCATTTGTCCGGCATAAATAATTATCATTCTCTGTAGAGGCCTATAGGTATGCCTAAGGCAGATGCATATCGCCTGTTAAATTTGCACCACAATTAGCATGTAAATAAGTACAGTTGTAGTGACCACTGACACGCATATATTCCCTGTAGATTAATGTGAATAAAATCTGAATTTTGTACATAATAAAGACGATGAAGATTTCGAACTAAACATGAGAAGCTGGTTTGTTATGCTACTCTGTGCACGTAAAATGAAAGAAAGATTCGGATCTGGAGTCATGTCGGAGCCCATGGATTAGTTAATTCGTTAATGAAAATCGTTGCATTGAAATTCAGCACAGTTATTGATTAAAGTAGAAGTCATTTTGGACGGTTCACAGCGAGAGGTAGTAGCGATAAATTGTGTAAAGCCTACATACTATAATCTCTTTTATGTACATGCATCTTTATTTATGACAAAATATAAACCCCTTGCTAAACATCTTACAGCATTAGCTTCCATCCTTTCCAGTCACATTTGCAAAGTTTCACGAAGTTTTACAAATTTGAATATCATTGTAGTTGAAGGATCCTCCTGCCAAACTGACCAAGACTGCGCTTTCAAGACATCTGACTGCGTTGGGTTGAGCAACATGGGGCTACCGAGTGCACTCACCGACTTTCTGGCGGTACGTGAGCTGAGTTACTGACACACACACGCATGCATGCGCGCACACACAAATACATGCACACGCGTGATCTTTACGATTTACCTTGCAGTGTCCTAGTTTTAAGTGTGTGTGTGTGTGTGTGGAAGTCACATCTTTGTAAATGCAGAACTTGATGTTGATCTTTGTAAGCTACTGGGTGGGAATATTTGACTTTAATTTTTTTTTAGGTCAATTGAAAAATCTCTCACTAGCCAAAGTATTTTTCGAATTAAAATCGGAGGGCAAAGAGATAAATACTGACATATAAATGGTATCTCCTCACTTTAGTATTCGGTAATGTAGTATCAACCCATACAAATTTTTCTTCTACATTTTGGCTATGAGACCATTCACAACCAGTTGATCCGCGGACTTACTGATCCTCGGGTCAAATATGGCGTCACCCACTTGAAAGCGTGCCAAGATTTGATTGTTCTGCCCCGCAGGGACGGCGCGCGTGGGAGGCGGAAATCCAATGTCAGGTGCGCGCCATTTTTGACCCGCAGTCTAGTAAGTCCACGGATCAACTGGCTCTGAATGCGTCCTATATGTTTTGCTACCGCCAAATGTTTCAACTCATTTGCTTATGCTCTGATTTAAGCCTTTGGTGGTGCTTCTTTGTCAGCTGACAGTGGAATATCAGCAGCAAGTGCCGATCTGGTCATGTACCGCCAACACGTGCATTTTCACAGGCCTCGGGGCGCCGTCGATATTTGGTTTTCAGAAAAGACGAAAACGTGAAGGTACGAGTGGCGATATTACTGTTCACTGATATTCACACTTTACTAATCTCTTTTAACAGTATTCATAAACATTATACATGACTGGCTGATCTTTGGGAGGGAGGACGACATCCTTGGCGGGGTGGGCGTGTTTAGTGTTTGGTTGAGGGGTGGGGGGGCTGGGGGGAGGGGCAGGAGCGGTCATGGGTCAAATTTGCAGTGTAGAGTAAGGCTTGACTGTGTAAAACAGTCGAATGTTTAAAGTAGCCTTACCAAAACAGACTTGCAAGATCTTTTTTTTCGATTACATCTTAACAAGACTGAATGTAAAAATGGTTTCGGCCCGATACCCGGTTCTTCCATAAAAAGGATGAAACTACTCATACCGGAAAAGCAAACGCGGAAAGATGGGGCATATTCTTCACAGTTTAGACATTCACATATCTTTGTTAGGAAATGGGAGCGTCAAAATGTCCCGTCTTTTGTTTGTATTCTGCCTAAATGTATCAATTTACTTATTAATCCCCATGCTGTCTCAACCACAAATCCGTCATATTAACTGTGCAGCGCTATGCTCACGATATTTGTTGTATCTTATCTTGCAGTATTCGAGCCGTCTGGAGCATTTGAAGAAGACCAGGGATCTCAGATAATGGCGTCTCTGTCCAGGAAAACGAGGAGCGAAACCATAAGTACTGATGGGCCGGAACTCTTGCCCGCCGGTGAGGCTTTATCAAGGCAAAAACGCCAGGGGTCATCATGCCCACCGTTTTTCCTTGCATGGGTCCAGATATTAAATATATTTGCCACGGGGCCACAGTCACCAGCGATAGATTTTGACTGCTTTATACGCTAGTCACACTAGAGGCGAAATGAGCTAGAATGTCNTACTGATGGGCCGGAACTCTTGCCCGCCGGTGAGGCTTTATCAAGGCAAAAACGCCAGGGGTCATCATGCCCACCGTTTTTCCTTGCATGGGTCCAGATATTAAATATATTTGCCACGGGGCCACAGTCACCAGCGATAGATTTTGACTGCTTTATACGCTAGTCACACTGGAGGCGAAATGAGCTAGAATGTCATCGTAATGAAAATTCTATGTATATTCCTGGATATTTGAAGTGCTTCTAAAGAAATCTAAGTGCATTCCAAATACATGGGTCCAATCTTGTGTCCGGTTCGAATGTTTTGCTCATATTCAAAATGTTTGACGTGCATTCCAAGTGGAGAAATATCAAATGGTATTCTAACTGCACTATGAGTACATTCTTAATATTCTTACCGCATTCCAACAGCATTCGAAACATTCTGATCGCATTCGAGGGAGAACCGAAATGGCAAGACACTTCAAATCCTGCCAGAATGTTCTGCATGCGCCTCAAGTGAGCCAGAATTCATCGAACCGAACTCGAGCGGCATTCGAAGTATATTCTAAATATCCTCACTGCACTTTGACAACATTATCGATATTCCGAATGTGTTCAACCTACATTCGAGCTGCATTTGAGCGCTTATTCACCGAAAATGTGCGCGAATCATTCCAGGCGGATTCGAAGCGCATTCTGAGTATTCCAACAGTAGTCTTACATGAATTTACCGTTTATAGGTCAAATTTATATTTCCTCCTGAATGTGGCGCGAATTTTGACAAATTTTTGTTCCGGCTCATTCTGCTTGATTACTGCTGATTCCAAATAAGTGTGACGGGGGCTTTAATTTACATTGAAATAGCTTCAGTATATCTGTCAAGTTACCATGCACAATGGGGTGGGGGGAGGCATTGAAAAAAGATGAGCTTCTAAAGTCCAGCTTGAAATTTTGTTTCTTAAAGACGATTCTAGCAACTACGGAGTACGGACTATACAGACTAGAATGCTCCATGGGGGGTCGTTGGTGGGGTAGGGGTGTTGGAGGGGGTCAGAGAAAGGTGGAGAATGCTTGAAGCCACCAGGGTGTCTTGGTTGTCGCTGCACGAGTTTTGATTTAGTTCGGTTATGTTGTATCGTTCTTTCGTCACTACCTGTCACATTGTGTGCAACTTTGCGTGAACCAATAAACTCCTCATTGAAACAAATGGCATGGTGTGAATGAAACCGTACATTATACATACATTCTAGCTGTATTACCGTACATTTCAACGATAGGCTGACCAAAATTTTGGGTGGACGTAAAAAGCGCCTTCTAGTACACTAAGGTATACTTTTCGTTAGTGCTTTATTATACAGAGAGCAAGACCTCATAAATTAATCCTACATGAATCTGTGTAACACTCGGCAATACGACACAGAGGTGCCATCAGTATTCCAAAATATTACAAATAAAAATCCTAGAGACAAAGACATGTTTAACAAAGTCACCAACACTTATCAGTCCATACCTGCATTCAAACTAGCTAATTTTGTTTTACAGTGCATGAAAACAATGACATCAATTTATTATAACATCTTCGGTTTTTACCTAGCGGCGAAGAGACGTCTTCCAAAGTCAATAATAATAATAATAATAATAATAATAATAATAATAATAATGATATTAATAATAATGATATTAATAATAATGACGCGGTGTGCAATACCACCCATTTTAGCTGAGGCTGAACACACACTGTCTGTCTTATTATTGCTACGTCACGTATCTCTGTCGCTTGCAGATCAGTGTTATTCACGCATATGCGTCTTAATAGGTTAGATTCCGTCCCTTACATTTGGGTTGTTTGTTAAATCAACCATGTCCGTATGATTCACAAGAACCCTTGCAATGGATATCAATGTTCAACGATGCTTCTTTCTCGCAACCAGTGTAGACGTGTACTGGTAGAGGTTTGTTCATTGGCCGTGGCATTGCTGACAATATTTCGGGTGATAATTCCAACCACCACATGTGCAGATGCTTTTGACACATGTTCGCCAAGGCGGTGGGATCGTTTTGGGATTTGATATACCCGTAAAAAGAGACATAAATAATAAACCCAGCTGATTTGTCACGGAAATTGGACTGTGTATCCAACCTTTACTCTTAGCTTTCATTTGATTCTAGTTTTTTTCGCCCATAACTTCTTACCGCGGTCAGTCGCTGGGTCATAAAGTTCACCAATAACCTCTTTTACCACAGGTATTTTAAAAGACACCTTTACGGACACGTGCTTGTACATTAAATCTGTCACTAAAATTGATATGGCGAACAGTTTCTAAAAATAGCATCTTACTGCTTCAGTCAACCAAAAGTTTTCAATCTCCAAGGGCCTTAATGTGTCATTTAAAAAGATTTTAAAATCAGTTTCCTTGACAATGTGTTATTTGATTATAGGCACAACTTAAAGGGATTTTCCAAACTTTAGTTTTTATAACGTCTAAGGTAAAATGTTGATGTCTGTATCCTGTATGAAATATCACTGGGTCATCCACCTGAAGACTTAGTTTCTCCTAGAAACACTCACATCTTTGGATACTTATCCTTTAACTGATTTTTAAATACCTTTGAACCATACGACGATTATACTAATCTTTCTGAGATTTTCAACAATATATGCCATTATTTATTTAATCTATCTATAAAAAGATTTAAAACATTTTTTTCATTTCTTTGAGGTATCCATTAAATTCTTTACTAAAAGCTTCACGCTTCACCATTTAAACCGGTAACGTAGGGGCAAATAGATAATTCACGTACGTGCTTTTTAACGGTAATTTCATGAAGTTATCTTTGCTATGAATGCGCCACCCTGCCTTTTAACAGGTGCTACCATCACCAGCTACCACAAGGTATTTTTTACCACAGCTTTTTACCATGCTAGTGAGTGTGACTAATCTATCTTTTGCCACAGACCGCCGTTTTAATTGGCATTATTTCTGTCTTGATACTAAACATTTTGGCATTAATTGGCGATTGTCTAAAATCCAGAGGTTGTGGGATTGACATTATATGGTGTATTTATAGACCGGAATTGAAACAAAAAAGTCGCTATGGGATGAGGGGGTACACGTAAAAGGCATGAGATCCCAATTTTTCGGGATACAAGTAACTACAATAAATGAAACAAATTTAATTGGTCATGTAATATGTAACATTACAACACCCACCGTACCGTTCTACTTACCTTCAAACGTTGAATATACATGTATATTTGATTAAAACGGGAAATTGACTTTCTCTTGCATAAAGGTGGTTAAAAACTATGTAATCTCTAGAGAGACTAAATGGCATTAATCATTTGAGTCAGGATCCAAGGCCCATGATCGCGCGACTGACTCGTCGAGACTGGCTCGGTGAGCTTTGGAATGTCGGGTGTCATCGTAGGTGGGTGTGGGTGGATGGGGTCAGGTCAGCCATAGGGATTTATTTTTGTTTACTTATGTACATTGCCTCTTAAACCTGCCCATTGCAACGATGCCCCCTCTTCATCATAGAGAAACTATTATTTTTATCATAATTATGAATTTTTTCTATTCTAATATCTCGGATGACCTAACATATCACTGGCTATCTGAATCACATTCACTTAAAATAATAAATAGGTAATTGGAAATCCCGTAATACTTAAAAAAAGTTAACTTGGCCAGAATTAATGTGCTCACATCAAATTTCAAATTCATTTTAAGGACAATGACATTCAAGCTCGTCATCTTAGGTTCTTTAATGGGAGGGGGATCAATCAAGCTATTTTCTTTTATGTAATTTAAAGAGTCCAAGTTGAGACTTAAATTTGACATTTTATTTAATAAACCAGTAATTGATAAGATGTTTACACGAAATGATAACAGATTGCATTAAGGTTAAACGATATGGAACAACCGGTGCTTGGAATATAAAACCATTGGATACCATTGAATAATTCACCATAAGGACTGTCTCAAGAGACGAAACGAAATTACATATTTAGCAGCGGTTTAAGAAAACACGGGTACCTTTTGATCGTAAATGTAGCATGAGGCGACAAACCACGGGGCACACATATTGTTTGTAATATTGTATAATGCTGCCAAATCCGTAGAGCGTGACGCAAATATAGCTAATGCTTTAAGGTATTAGACTCATCAAACATGCCATAGTGCGCGATTCACCTTTCACTGTTTTGTTCCAAATGTAATAAAATTTCATTTCAATAAAATATTTCTTGGCACCTCGTTTAAGGCAAGGTCATAGAATTTACATTATGAGGCATTAAACCACACGGCACCGAAATGCGTTATTAAATAAAGCATTTTTGTGCAAGAAGTCGTGGAATTGGACATCAATTTGCTGGATACGCTGGCGAGTTTAAATACAGAACCCCGTGGTGACTAAGTCTACAAGATATGCTCATCCTTTCCGCCTTCACATTTTTCTCGCGAGGTCCACCCCGGATGTGAAGCCTCGTTGTATAAATAGCCATCACTTAAGAACAGTTAGTATAATTTTGCTGTCTTTGGAGGAAACGCCACCGAAGCAGACAGAACGGACTCCATCTATTTCGAAAATACGTTAATCAAAATTAAGGTAATTTGTCAGTTTTGCGGTATGATTTTAAGGTTAGTTAAAGTTTACATATTTTAATGACCATAAGTTTAATAATGGTAAATATTTGCGTTCATGGGGAACATATGGTACAGTGTCAACTATGACATGGTGCTGGAACATTATTTATAAATTTTCTTTCAGCATAGCATATGCTTTGTGCTAGATCGCAATTTAATATGCACTGATACATTTCATTCAAAATATCTATCTTACCAGACAATTATTAATACGGCGACTGATGTTTAATTCCAGGATATATTGGATAAGAAAAAACTTTGGAAAGACAAGTAAATATCAAAGAGCAAATATGGCGGCCTGCTTGAGAACTGTGTTTGCGATAGTACTTCTGGCAAAACTAGGAGTCA